TTCTTTAATCACTGATTATTCGATAAATTCAATCACGGACGTATTTTCTATATATTTTAGATATCATATAGTAAAATGGGCAAAGGTATCAGTAAAGAGGCCAAGCAGGACAACATAATTGTTGCTCATAGTGGAGGTAACTCTATCCAGATGGAGCAAAAATTGGAGACTTTTGGGCTCATTACTTTGGTGATGGTAGTGCTGCTAGCTGTTATCATCACACATTGTGTATACAAAAAGCTATATACGGGCATCAAAGCTTGGACTCGCAGACAAATCGCTTTCGTAACGAGGTCTGCCCAACCAGTTCAGGTGGAACCTACACCTGTATCTCCACAAGTAATCTATGCGTGATTAATTTAGTGTTAAAATGTATAATTAAAATAGTTGTGAAAATAATATTTAAATAAGATAATCAGTGAATAAAGTTAGGATATAATACTAAGTGACTCTGTTATTATACTTAGTAAGCATTCCACCAGTCGCTCGCAGTGTAATATGAGATGCATGTTATTGTTAATTGTTCGTATTCTATATCGTAATGTAACGACACTGTATTTTTGTTCTGTATTAGAATAAGATTTTAATGTATTATGTACGTAATATTTTTTTGAAATATGTTGTATTAATTTTATTTTTTTGTAAGGGGGGGAATACTGTAGGGACACACTACTACAGGTTTGCATACCATGCACTTGTTATGATATAATATATAATGGTTTGGAATGCGCCGTCTCGCCAGTCACGGGGAAATCGGGGAGCGAACGGTCGCATCCTTATTGTTATTAGTATATACCGTAATTGTGAAAGAAATAATACACATATATATATCACTAACTAAACTTTTATTTGCCCCGATCCCCGTGCCTCAATATATGTATGTTTACAGTTGAGATTTGTACAAAATACGTGTACGTGTAATACTTAATGGTTAATTTTCTAAAAGAACTTCCGTGTTTGCAGCCGAGATTGTCAGGCACAGGCCACAGAGACAAACAGGTTGATGCCGATTGAAATCGTCATCGACATTGAAATAGTTACTTAATCTCTAAGTCAGACGATTTTTCTTTGAATGTCTTTGGTATATAATATATCGACTAATAAATTTGGAAAAAATAAAATGTTAGATTCCTAATTAAAAATTCGTAACAAAATGACTGAGACATATGTATATAAGATAAGATGCTGTTTTAGCCATTTGGTTACGGGACCCTAATACATGTACTTGTATAATAATTTAATAGCGTTTATTAAAGTTTGAGAATGATAATGCGAAATTTATCTCTTGATGATATAAGAAGCGCGATAATAACAATATTAATAATTAACGATGTTGGAAAATATATAGGCCGTCTGGCGATTTGCAAGTATTATTGAAAATTGCTCAATAAATACGTGATTAAAATTTCAGATTGCCAAAAGTATATTTTTTGGGAATTTTAATAAAGCATCTTTGGAGAAGTCTGGCAATACTTTATAACCGACAAAAACGTCTGGGGTTCTTTTTTATGAATTATATGAAAACTAAATTAAAAGATTAAATAAAAATCAAGTTGCCAAAAATATGTTTTTTTTGGATATTTTTTTTTTTTTTGCAAATGTTATATACTGCGCAGTAACGAAATAACCGCTAAGGCTATACCAGACTCTCGGGACTGGACTCGGGAATTCACGAAATTATATTTTTTCACAATTTCAACTTGCCAAAAGGACCTTCCCAAAATTCGTCGCCAGCTCTCGGAATAATATTATTTTGGTTTATTATTTATTTAGTATTAATTTGTTTTCCAAATTAATAACGACTATATAGTGCTCTAAGTACCTATAAATAATTACTCTTGTTGTCCACATAATATATGTATTTGCACTTATTTATTTCAAGAAAATCTATTTACAGTCCTTCTTTCTAAAAGAAAATTATATTTTTAATTGTCAATTTCACTTCTGGGCAATATGAGTGTAGTGAGACCGTAGGGTATAGGTATTAAAATTAGAAAAAACTAAAATGAGGGGTTTTAGGCGCCAGTTTGGGTGTTTTGAACATTTTTTGTTTCAAATTTTCTTTTCTTCAAAAATAGGTTTAGAGGTGATCACAAAAATATAGAACTCATATATTTAAAAATAACATTGACACAAGAGGAAGCCAATTAATAATGCTTTAGAATAGGACACAAACGACAATTTGTATACCTATTGAGTAATAAGTACTTAAATAAATGTTAATAAATAAAAATTGCTAACAGATTTTATTATAATAAAGAAAAAAATTAAATAAGTAGTCTAATATTATGCTTTCTTTTTTTTAAGGAGGAGACAAATAATGATTAATAAATACAAAAGTATATATTTAGTAAGTATTAGGTACTAGCGACTCACTCTCGCTTCGTTTCGAGTTCGTCCCTAGACAAAAACAAATCTATCCCACGGGAAGCGTACATTTTTCCGGGATAAAAGTAACCTATGTGCTATTCTAGACTATATTCTATATCTGTGCCAAATTTCATCCAGATCCGGCGTGAAAGAGTAACAAACATCCATCCATCCATCCTCATAACTTTTTATGTATAGGTACTATTAGCATGAGTATGGCTTATAGTATGGATTTTAATTATTCAAATTTTATTCTCAAAAATTGTATAAGTATTACTAATACATATATAAAACTTCCTTTGTTCTTTAAAAAAATCGGTTTGTATGGCAAAATCGAGAATAATATCATGAACAACATATCAAGCTATTTTTGACTTTGTCATTTACTTTATTGGACTCCGTTTACTAGTGTAAGACTGTAAGTAGAAAAAAATGTACCTATACCTAATGAATAAACACGTTGAGATAAATGTGAACCTACTAAAAAGATAAAAATGACATAGGAACAAAGTATAATATTATACAGTCGGAGACACATGTTTTCCCCCTCTTATTGGGCACTCTAGGCAAGTGCCCAGGGCCCCGCGACCGACAGGGCCCCCAGCCTGCCGTCAAAAAATCATTCTTTGTAACCGCCGTTCCAGTCTACGCATTATTAGTATTTGCAGTGCGATTTACAATAAGTTTCTAGCCCCAAACTTATAAAATATTAGTACTACGTTTCTTTTATTGATTTTTATAGAATTTAATTAGGTTTAATTGAACATTTAAAGAAATTCAATTTGCCAATTATCACAATACGTAAAGTGGGACGAAATGCGGAAATGACATTGAATAATTATATAGGTAATTAGCATACTAATTAAGTCGAAAAACTTATCCAGGGTAAACTACTTATGAAGTACAATGCTTCAACTTTCAAGAAAGATTGTGCAGTCAATAGAATGTAATGTGCTCAAAGACATACCTAGACTTTGAACAACTGATTGACGATTGCTTATGTGAAAATTAGAACGGTACCTTTAAGGGTATCATAGAATTTTAACTAGCCTGCGAATGCTAAGAGTTACTTTTCGGAATCATATTACAATTATCTATTTCTTTATTGAGATTGTAGAAATAAAAATAATTTGTTGTAGTACATATGTAATAAAAAGGTAAATAATTTTAGAATTTTGCTTATCTACGCAGGGAGGTATTCCGTGATCTTTATGTGACCTCCAATAGGTTAAAGACGACCATGCATGTTGTTATACTTATTAGGGAGTTTTGCTTAATTCATTTGATCAGTTATCAAATGTATCTAATAACATAATCTCCATTATCAAATGAAATATACATAATTTAGGAAAGTAGGTAAAAACAATCTTTAATAGCTTTTTACTATTTATTTGGTGAAGATATAAGATCCTAAAAAGAATATTTATTAGCAACCCACCCCAACGTTAAATATTTACCTTAGATACAAAAATTATTATGGGGATCATAATGCTGAATAAAGAACACTTCGTATTTATGCACTTATGTTGTATTACACAAGTAGTACGAGTACCTATTATAATTATGCGTTGTAAAGGCTTAAGAATTTAAGTGAAATTCGTAATAGAGATAGTTTTATTCTTCTTACTTTCTAGATGAGATTGGAGCTGCAGGCAAAACTAGACTTACAGAGATCAATAGGTACTTTAAAGAATCCGAAATAGTTTTAGTCTAACTTAGAAGAAAACAAAACTAAGTTTTTGACGTCTTCAATATATAGGTACAACAATTATTGTGCAAGTTTAATGGTCATGTTTAACTTCTATCTGTCCTTGACTGGTGACACGTCACGTTAACTACTAATATTTTAAACGCGAAAATTTGTGAGGATGGATGGATGTTTCGTTGCTCTTTCATGCAAAAACTACTGAACGGATTTTGAAGAAATTTTACAGTTATATGATGACGATGTTCTTCTAGCCGATTCCGGCCACGGTGGCCAATCTCAATGAGACTAGCCAACTGCGCAGGAGATATTATAGTGCACAAGTGTACGCGCAGACACAAGTGCACTCTCTATTTCTGTCTCTCTCATACTCCGGTGGGACGACTTCTCGACACGACCGGTGAGAGTTAAGGCGCAGGACCGACGGCTTTACATGCTCTCCGAGGCACGGGGGTGAAACACCACCAACTTCCCAACTCCGGGCTGTTACTGAGGCTTACTATACAGAAAGACTCAATAACTAAACTTGGCCCGACCCGGGCCTCGAATCCAGGACCTCGGGGTGTGCAGCCGTACATGCTAGCCACTAGACCACCGAGGCAGTTTAAGTGGCGGTGTTTCACCCCCGTGCCTCGGAGAGCACGTAAAGCCGGTCCTGCGCCTTAACTCTCACTGGTCTGTCGAGTGGTCGTCCCACCAGAGTATGAGAGTGACAGGAACAGAGAGTGCACTTGTGTCTGCGCGTACACTTGTGCACTATAATATTTCCTGCACAGTTGGCTAGTCTCAATGAGATTGGCCGCCGTGGCCAGAATCGCTCAGGAGAACATCAATGGAAGTGACTAAGTATTTAATAATATTTTGATATATTTTGGATTATGCGACAGGCCCGACTTGGATGTCGTAGGTTGACACGCTCCAGAAGATGGCGGTCGTAGATTTGTAAATACCTACCCTAGTACTCATACTTTTTATACCTAATAGACTAGTAAATGGATAAATAAATAAAAATGTATTAGTCGTACCGTAACTGTATCAATAGGGCCAGCCTTTTATAATAATGTAGTAGGTACGGTGAATGACATTTACTGGTATTTATTTTCACTTTAATTTTTTCAAAGTAAAATATATAATTTTAGTTTATTGATTTAACTTTTTTTCTTGCAGCTTGCAAATCCTATCAATAGGAGGCAATCAAATAGCTGAAGTTCCCGAGTCTGTAGGAGCTTTAACATCACTTCAAGCCCTAGTCTTGAGTAACAATCAAATAGAACAACTACCAGCAAGTATTGCAAATCTCAAGCAACTCAGATCTCTCCTAATACACCAAAATAAACTGAAAACGTTACCGACGCAAATAATAAAACTAAAATGTTTAACAGAGGTTTGTATTGTAAACTAATTTAAATTATTGTATGTAAAAGTAATTACCTACTAGAGTCCACGCCCGGCTACGCATGTGTAATATATTTAATTACACAACTAAAATTCGGATTACAAACCATAAAAATTACTTTCTGACACTAACTGTTTATTCCCTTTTACATTGTCAAGCACAAAATTTAAATAACTTGACTTAAAAGTCGATTAGAGAAGTACTTCAATGTGTAGGTAGGTAGGTAAAAAATCTTTCTTTCATAAAATTAAACTATCCCAAAATGATCAGATATCCTAGTATCGTACAGCCAAATATCTACTTGTACGTATTATAGGGTAATGAACCCAGTAGTCAGCCATTTAACTGAAATCACAAGTTTGTATTACCATGAAATAATACTTAAAGAAAAAATAAGAGATGTTTTATAGGTACATATTACATAAGTTATTACAAGGGTACCTAACAATTATATTAAAATATTATCTATCATATGGTTCAAACAAGTTTACATTGCACAAATCAATACTTACATGGCCTACTAAGGTCCTATTTATAGCCAGACTTTACACAGAAGGGGCGACATTATCAAAAGGCAGGAAGCTAACAATTTTTACACAGTGCAGCCATTACACATTTCGCTTTATATATCTAATAGTATAATAACTTTTGTTGAATAACTGCATAGTGCAAAGTATCTGCACGTATGCTAATCATTGTGGTATAGTATAAATATAGCGTAAGTTGCTGAACGAAACTGTTCCGGCTTTGGGTACTATACAAATTATTTCGCGAAACATACTAAATATTTTCGTGACGCCGCGAGATGATATTAAATTACCCAGTTCGATTTCTTCAATCTCTAAGTTTACAATGAGGATCAGTACAGTTATAGCAAATTCCATAGAAATAGTATCCACGTTATTTTATAAGACATAAGAATGATATATCTTTTTGAATTTTCTAAATCGGACCATAACTTACGAAGATATTAAGTAATAAACATTACGCCGTTCCTGCCAAAATCCATGTACGCGGGTGCGTGTGACGTCACTGTGACGGAACGAACGTAGCCGGCCCACCGCCCGGGCCTCTTACTTCACACTTTTCGCGACGCGGTTGGCTACTACATTTAGTAATTACTTATTTAGTGTTTTTTCAAGTATGTTTGTGATATTTAAATATATTTAGAAAGTATCTACATCTATACATATAATAAAATTCTAACTAAGTCGAATCTGTACATTAATTATTTTTTGGAAAATCTTATTGAATTAGACATTATTATCGATGCAGAGGCCGAATCCATAGTTTTAAGAATTTTTGTTTGTCTGTCTGTACGTTACGTACATCAAAATGATCTTCACAGCAATGTCTTGTAGCCTGGGCAGAGGGTGGAGTTTTATCATCTCTTTTTACAACGGAAAACCATTTTTTACGAAGTTTTTATCCTTCGGTACGTTAAAAAATAGTTTTTCTGGCGTTTTAAAAGTACTGTTTGTACATTTCGGCACTATACAATATTTGTACATAATTAAAAAGGTGAATTAGACACAAATCGGACACTTAATTTGTTTCAAAGTCATTAAAACACTGCGCGCCTTATTGCTGCCAGCGGCTTACCGTCCCTATGACGTCACAGCTATCGCGGCGGCCACGCAGTGAACTTCGCTAGTAATTTCCTCATAACTTCGTCATTTTTTGTCGTAGAACAAAATTTTTTGCACTGTATGTTAAGGATTTCTTAGCTCTATAAATCTGCATTCTCAACTAAAAACGTTATCCTCATTGTAAATACACCTAATTCATCAACAATTTGAGTGATATCATATACCTATTAGGTCATAATTTATATATGCGAGGCGCGGAGGGAAAATCTTATAGCATGCCCCTTCTACAAATTTAGCAAAGTACTTTTAAAATGTGAACCAATAAAAAACAATTTCTAATTTAAGAAATATAGAGTTTTTTCTTTATATTCTTTTGAGCCGATTTCTTGAAATCCATCGTAAAATGCGTGGAAACCGTACCTAATCGACAATCGTGCCCAAATGAAATGTCCAATGTTCTGTGACCATTCTGCAAAAAAGCATAAAAACTCAAACATGTTCTCGGCAATAAGTAGACATTATTTTAGACATTACTAGCGACTCACCCTCGCTCCGCTCGGGTTCATCCCTAACGTGGGCCACCCTTATCACTTAGGGGTATAGAAAATAGATAGTAGCCGATTCTCAGACCTACTGAATACGCATATAAAATTTGGTAAAAATCGGTAAAGCCGTTTCGGAGGAGTACAGTAACTAACATTGTGACATGGAAATTTTATATATTAGATAGATTATCTAGAATCTAGATCATTCTTTTTTTCGAGTGTTACGTAACATTGTTGTTATTAAATAAATGTTTATGGTTATAAGTAATAACAACATTATTAATTTATTTTTATTGCAGTTGAGTCTCCGCGACAATCCTCTTGTGGTTAGATTTGTAAGAGACATGACGTTGCAACCAACTTCCCTTCTTGAGTTGGCCGGCCGAGTTATCAAATTACACGATATACCGATAAACCCAGGCGATGTTCCAGCGACGTTGATCAGATATTTGACATCAGCTCAGTGCTGCGTCAACCCTAAATGTAAAGGTGACTATGTCGCATTTATCATCCATACTTTCATATTAATATTCTAAATGTGAAGGTGGGTTTGTTGGTTTGTCCTTCTTTCACGCCGAAACAGAGTGACGGATTGGCGTGATTTTTGTGTGGAGATAATTGGAGAGCTAGAGAGTGACAAAGGCTACGTTGCCGCGGGAGATTATCTCATTCCCAAACACACGGTAATAAACGAAAAACACGTTATAATACAACCCAAAAAAAAATTATGATCAGTATTCCTTGAAACTTGCTATTAATGCTCTTCAATAATACTAAATAATTACGTTTTGGAATTCATCCCATAAGGGGGTAAAATAGGGGATGAAAGTTTGTATGAAAGCTATTTTTTAGTTTTTTTTGTAGTTTTAGCGCAAGCGAAGCCGTGGGTTCTTCTAGTAAAATATATTTATCCTCATACTATTGTCACAGAAATGGTTTAGACAGAAACATCACTGTTCACTGCTCCGTTTTTATTACTTAATATTCAAACAATGAATATTGCAACTGAAATTATATTAATAGTCAACAGTATAAAAAAAATAATTAATAACCGCTTTTCTGTAAGTATATCATGTATATTATATTTCTTCAGGTGTATTTTTCGACAATCGTGTTGAACATATAAAATTCGTAGATTTTTGTGGAAGATACAGAATTCCCCTTCTACAATATTTATGCAGTTCTAAATGTATCACGGGCAGCTGGGAGAGTCGAGAGGTGGACAGTAATGCTCCAGTACAAATGATGAGAAAAGTTCTTCTGGGTTAACATTATTAAACATTTAAGTTTGATAAGGACAATTATTATATCTACCTTTCTCTGATATGTTAAGAATTTGACATAGAACATATTATACAAGTACCTTCCTAGATAGATATTTCGTTTTTTTAATATAGTGTGTTCTCAAATATACAGTAAAGATATGTTATTATCTGTTTCGTGCTTTTTAATTTTTTTATAAAAAACGAGAATATATTTATTGTATAAAATATTGTTAAAGAATTGTACCTATTGAAATTTCAAGCTAATTTTTCATTCATTACTACCCGATGTTCAACTTTACACAAATGGTACAATATAAATAATCATAATCAATAGTAATATAAGATTCAATGTGATATATAACAACTGAATATATTCAGGTATATTTTAGCATTATTTTACATATTTAAAAGAAAAATATAATAATTGTAGTCACTGTTCTGTGGATACTGCTATTAAAAATATTTTAAATTATATTAAATAAAAGAGATTATTTTTGTTATTTTACTATTATCTATTGTTATTGTTTATAAAACAAATTATTTGGCTAATTGCATTAATTACAATTATTAAAAATAAAACTTGAAATAAACATTTTTCCTAATTATTATTATCCTGCAAAAACTTCATTCTTGCCTCTTTCCCCCTTAAAATAGCAGCTTTAAATAATTTACAATATAGTTCAATTGCTACAGGAGTGTCATCATTTCCTGGGACTGGATATGTGATTAAATTAGGATTACAATTAGAGTCAACTATACCAATAGTTGGTATTAACATTTTAGCACTATCTCTAACAGCTGTGTGTTGACTTAGAATATTGTTTTGTGTATTCAAAAATATACAAAGATCAGGAAGCCGTGTGACTGCCCCAAATTGATGGTTAGCATTGGTGAAGATACCTCCTCTCCAGAATCTTGTGTGGGCATATTCTCCACTTTCTTGTGCTGTTTTTTCTACTAAATGAGCATTTAAAGCATTTCTATTGAAGAAACAAATTATACCTCCTCTATATGCTATATGAGCAGTAAAGTTTAATGCTTTTCTCAAATGGTCAGCTGTAATATCCAAGTCAAAAATCAAGTGACCTTGTCTTGAACCATAAATATAGGGTATCATAAATTCATTCAGAGAACCTTCCTTGTGACCAAAGTGCACTCTTGAATCAAATAAATCTTTGACACTAAAGAGGTTATGTACTTGAAAATAGTCTGGATGATCAAGTGGATTGCTTTGAGCTACCGTTTTAACTGAAAGACAAAAAAAGAATATATTTCTTTTTTAACATTTTTAACTAACACTAAAGATTTTGATATATATTTTTACTCACTTTCTTGTGTCGGCTCAATTAATTCTGGCTTCGAAGCTGTCGAATTATTACGGAACAAAATAATAGTATTCCTTAAAGGACTACCTAAAATAAAAAATATTAAGGTTATAAAAATATAACATACCAAGTGGGTATTAATTAAAAGCCAAATACGTACGTATATATCTTGGAATCATTTTGTCTTTTGGTTTTTATAATATAGAATTATTATTACTCTGCAATACGCAATCTACGCGAGTACACTTTTTACTTTTATAAACTTCCGAACTTCGATAATCCTTTCACGATCACGATCATGGATGACATTGACATTTGACATTAATAATTAAATTAAGAAACTGTTAGACTTTTAGATGGTAGATAAAATAAAAACAGTGTCGCCAACAACTGAAATTTAACCCCCTAAGCACGGTAATGTTATAATACATTACCGTGCATTAAGACTTATAGAAGCCATGAAATAAAATAATTTAATTGAATGGGGAAGATTTTTCGAAAGGAGGGCGCTACACGTATTGCCTATTTACATTCAGTCTGAGGCTAAGCAATTTATTTATTTATTATTAAGCACACTTACAATACACATGTTAAACAATTCAATACAATAATTAAAGTGAAAAAAAATATTAGACATGCATATCAATAACAAGTGTACATAGCATTTATAATATTATGAAATTATTATAGTAATTGATAAAAAATACAAAATTAACAAAAATTAGAAACAACATAATTTAAAATATAAAGTAAAGATAAAAATAATAATAATTTGATTTGAGATAATTAGTAATCAATAGTTTTATAAAAATTATTATATCTATATTTAAATCACAGTTTGGATAAATAATATTCTAATAGTTTGTACTTAAATTTATTGAAGGTATCGTGAAAAATATCTAATTCTGGTAAGGCCTTAGAAATAATATTGTATTGCGAACACATACGGACGATGGGAGATTGAGAACCAAGGTTAGTTTTGACAGAAGGGAACCGTTCAAGATTTTATGCAGAAAACATAGATCGAACACTGCACGCCTGTTACTCAAAGACATCATTTTGAAGAAGGAGATACGATTCTGGTAAGGCTGTCTTTGACAAATTCCATTACACAAAAACACCAAATGCTTTGTGAAGTTACGTTCCACTCTTTCAATGCGTTGCGAGTGAATGCCATAGAAGGGACTCCAAACCGCAGAAGCATACTCCAATTAGCTACGAACAAAAGCATTGTATAATAATAAATGTGCAATTCACACATCGTAGAAGTGAAACTTCAGAAAATGATATGAATATAGAGTATCAGGAGTAGGATAATCATAAGGGTTTTTTTATATTATTTTTACCAAGTTTAAAAGTTATTTTACATTTTATTTGACATAAATATAAACATTACATAATAATCAGTAATGAATTTTATTATTTTTCACTTCCTTTGTAATGTATTCTATCAAATAACAACGGTTACCATGACAACGGTTACCATGGCATCATCGCAATGTATTCTATCTCATACTATCGCCGGCTTAATCCTATATATTTATATGTTTGTCTCTTTTTACTGTCGCATTTCCGTTGCATCGAGTTTCAAATCACAACGATTCTAAAGAAGTTTCACTTCAATAATATTTTAGTTGAGGCAGAGAGGCCTCTGGTGTTACGTTTTATAAATCCGAGAGTTTTAGCTGCTTTATTAACGGATCTAGTGATGTGCTGAACGAATTTTAATTTGTCTTCCATGATAACACCCAAATCTCTAATCTCACTAACTTTCTGTAGCGGGGTACCTTCAATAGAGTAGTTTGAGACAAGCGGTTTTAGCTTTCTGGAATATTTTATTAAGAAGCATTTCTACACATTAAGAGACATACGATTTTCGTTATACCAAAGACTGATTCCATTTAAAACTTCCTGCAATGACAGCGTATCCGACGAATTTTTCACGGTTTTATAAATTTTTAGGTCATCAGCAAATAAATAAATTTTACATGTTTTAATATTAGTAGTGATGTCGTTAATAAATACAAGGAATAGAAGGGGTCCTAGGTGAGGTCCTTGCTATCGCCCCGGATTGGGCGATATAAGATGTTGATTCGAATCCGTTAACAGATACTAGTGTAAATATGATTTGAACCACATCAAAAGAGAACCATTAATACCATTATGTTTGAGTTTTTCAGCAAGAATAGTGTGATCGACTTTATCGAATGCGCCACTGAAATCGGTATAAATTGCATCAATTTCGTCTCCCTTGTCAACACCTTGGGATAGGTCAGCGACAAAGTTAACAAGATTAGTTTGAACTGATAACCCACTTCGAAAACCATGTTGTTGGTTAGAAATAACTCGATTCAAATGATGGGAAATTATTGGAAAAATGGAGCAATTTATTATGATATCTCTTGTATACCTGTTTTTTTACTTCTTTTGTGTTCGCATCTTCATTTACTTGGAAGTTAGACCAACTGAAGGAAGAATTGAGAAAAAGAGGTGCATCCAGTTATTAGCTGTCTTGACTGCCTGATGGATCAACACACAGTCTAAGCCGCTGGTCATAGAAACGTGGAGGATTTATTCCTTATACGACGTAGATATCCGATAAGAATTTTTTTTTCAATATTTACCCCTAAGTGGGTAAAATAGGAGATTAAAGATTGTATAAAACTGTGTTATTCGTAATGTGAAATACACAGAATGTGATGTTGACGTGTGATATGGGTAAAGAATTATTTATGGTCGGAATTACTTGAAACTTGGTAAATACAATTAAATAAATACTGTAACGCGGGGTTTTTAGAAACAACGGTGATCGCGGGGTATCGTGTTGGAACATGTACAATCCTGTAGGGCCGTGTTTTGGTGCGACCGTATAGTTAGGCGCCCGCGCCCCTCCGTCACCCGCGAACGCTTGAGCGACGGCGTGGCTCGAGCAGACAGAGAGCCGCGAGCGCCGAACGCGTAAACATTAGAATAATAACGATCCTCCACGACTCTCATTTCGCGCACTTATAAAGTATTGTGTAATCTTTTGTGTAAATGTTCCTTATCAATAAGTTTTCTTGTGTAAAGCTAAAGTTGAAATAAATATATTTTAATAGACTGTGTGTATCTATTAAATTGGCATCGTACAGTAGCTACCTAATAAAATACGTGTTTAAGCATTTTTAATAAATAAAATAATAATAATAAAATTAATATATAAAAAGTACAAAAAAGAACACCTGTAGACAAATTAAGAGTTTTAAAATTATGTCCACATAGCCTTAAATATGAAGATTGTGATTTCGTCAATTTTGATCGTCTTATTTCTTTAACCCACAATTTCTTCAATTTTGTCTTTTGGGAACAAATGATATCCTTTTTTTTCGGCACAATATGTCATTTTAATTAAATTTTAAATAAAATGAAAACAAAAAACCATCCACATTAAGGAGCTTTACATTATACTTAGGGTTATAGTGATCGCGATATCTGGCGCGATAAGGCAAAATTCTTCCAAATTCTCTCAACGGCTTAATCCTATATCCTATTTATATATATTTGCCTTTTTTTCATGACGCATTTCCGTTTCATCTAGTTTCAAATTACAAACGATTCTAAAGAAGTTTCACTTTATTAATTAAAACACATCAATAATGAAAGAAAGCATATTATGACAATCATATATTTATAGAATATCATTTATGGAAAAAATATAATAATACCATGGATGACAAATAAATAACGACGGTTACTATGGCAACATGGCAATGATTTCTATCTCATTCTCTCGCCGGCTTAATCCTATAAATTTGTGTTTGTCTCTGTTTAGTGTTGTATTTGTTTCATTGAGTTTCAAATCACAACGATTCTAAAAAAGTTTGACTTCAAAAAAATATGAAGTATGAAGGCTACATTCTATTTTTAAAGATCGCCATAGCCTTATTTAATTAATTATTTGTAAGCTCTAATGTGTGCCACTACCTTTATTCTCTAGTAGTTATTCTACAGATTTAGTCTGTTTATAGTTTGACTATCACTGTCAATAATTTGACATTCCATTATCGATATGTTATGACATTACAAAATATTGAGTAATTTCAGATTCATCTGTGTTGACTGTTTAGTTTTCATTTTTCAAAGGTCCCTAGAAAGTAGAAGCCACTAAAAAAATTAAATTATTTCAAAGCCATTTATAAAGAAAATTGAGTTATTTAAAAACCGTCACTGGATCTCACCAGAAAATAATAAATATAAGTGTTCAATTGTAACTATTATTGGCTCAGGGGGCTAAAATTATATTATATATTTATATAAACGGAAATCTATTACTGATAAAAAAATGGCAAAAACGAATATTGAAGATTTAGATTTGTACGGACTACTGGATATATGTATAACAGCTTCAGAATCTGAGGTAATATTTAACTACTTTTTTATATTAACGCTTTGTTCTTGTATACATATTATATGTATTTTATATTTTTATCACTTTTGGTTTACAGATTAAGAAAGCCTATCGTAAAAAAGCATTGAAATGCCATCCAGACAAAAATCCTGATGACCCAAAAGCTGCTGCTGCATTCCATGAATTATCGCAAGCATTAGAAATTTTGACGGATAAAGCAGCCAGAGCTGCATATGATAAAGTTCTTAAAGCAAAGGCGGCGGCAAAACTTCGACATCAAGAACTAGACAGTAAAAGGCAAAAGTTAAAAGAAGACTTGGAAAGACGGGAACGTGAGGCTGCATGTGGTGGGTCAAATGTGAATTTAACTGATGAGCAAAAATTAGCTGCTGAAATTCAAAGGTTGCAGAAAGAAGGAAACAGATTATTACAAGAGGAACAACAAAGGATGAAAGAAGAAATTAGGAAAACTAAGAACAATCTGAAGACACCAGTATGGGATTCCAGTTTAAATAGAATAAAAATAAGCTGGAAAGCAAACAGAAATGATCCTACAAATGGTGGATACAATGAGGAAAACTTAAAAAGATTTCTCAAAAAATATGGTGAATTAGTTGCATTAATTTTATCACCAAAAAAGAAGGGTAGTGCTTTAGTGGAATTTTCATCTAAGGAGGCATCTGAAATGGCAGTGGAGTTTGAAAAAGGTATATCTTGTATACATAATCTAAAGTAATATTATAAAGAGGTAAATTTTGTGATTTGTGAGTTGTAGGGGGTAATCTCTGAATCTACTGAATGGTTTAAATGAAATTTGGTAAGATAGTTTGAGGCCCTGGGAAGGGAATAGGATACTTTTTATCTCAGTAATCATCCCTTAAAGAGGTGAAAATGGGGATAAAAATTATGGGGAATCAAGCTACTGTCCACCTACAGTCTTGTATACATTTAAAAATATTTTGTGCTTGTGATCCGCCCAACCCTCCTTCCCTCTCCCCCACTCGGGGGAGTCCCAAGTCTATCTCAATTCTCAAGTTAAAAATCTTGATACGATAAAATATAAAAAAGGCTTAGTTATGTTCAATCTCTCTTTTACTCATTTGTATGGTCTAATCATAATGTAAAAACACAGTAAGACTTTGTTTTTACACCATCCTATAAATGAATGGATTACATGTAAATATGTATGTATTGCCCATTTCTCTATAATCTTTTATTAAATATACCTAATTATTTTTACAGGTCTTCCAGAAAATCCCCTTACATTAAAATGGTTAAATGATAGACCAATATTAACAACAAAAAAAGCTAAACATGTAAGCTCTTTAGTATCAGATAGGGATTATGAATCTATAGTGTTGACTAAAATGCGACAAGCTGCTGAAAGACAAAGGTTAATTGAAGAGATGATGAAAGAAGATCAGGAAAGGAAATAGTAAATAAATCTTGAAAAAAATGTTCTGTTTTTAATTTTAGAGATATAACATACTTAAATTAGAGGTATTCTTAAATAATACAAATATGAGGTGAAAATAACTAACTAATTAATAATAAAAAGTAATAACACATTACTTTAGAATATGTTTTTGAGTAAAAGAAATGAAAAAATGAGGCAGTAACAATAAAAAAATATATGATAGTGTTTAAAGTAAAAATATTGTTTATTTATTATTTCCTTAATTTTGAATTTTCATTGATTTTTCAAAGGGTTGCCAGTCTTTCATGAACTCAACCACTTTTTTTCGCTGCACATCTCCAAATTCTCTTTTAGGATTTTTCCATACACTATGATCTAAATCCAACATACCACCAATAATTTCCTGAAAATAGGAAAAAAATGTTACCTTATTTAAAATTTGCATTTGTTACTATCATGTTGTTAGATAAAATAATACTATTATCCTTCTACTAGTCTTAAACATATTCCACACATATATACATATTAAAAAAATATGAATAACAAAAAAACACCTCCTCTCTAAGACTAAATTTTAGGTAGGTCTTTGCTTTAATGGCTTTAAGACTAAATTTTATATTTCTACAGATAAATAAAATTGAAGTGTCTGTTTGTAATGTCAAAATGACACCTTTTTACTAATATTATATGCATATGAAATTATATACGGTATGAAAACGCAATTTTTTAAATTTTTGTCTGTCTGTTCATTCTGGCTAATCTCCAAAACGACTTTCACTGGCAGATAGACGATGTTACAAGGAGTGACTTAGGCTGCTTTTATTTTAGAAAAAGAATTGGGTTCCACTCCAAAAATCCAAACATACTTAGAAATGCACCCAAGTGAAGCGAGGGTAAGTCACTAGTACTATAATAATTTGTCTTATATAACATTATCACTTATTACTTTTAAAAATAGAATGTAAAAATTTCTATGATAATAGTAGGGGAGCCCAAGAGGGGATTTTCTGTAGTTACTCGAGCGCGGCAGATTAATATACAGGGGGATACCTTGTACCCGGTTAAGTACCTCCACAAAACATGAGGCCCATATATAAGGCCGCCCGTGAAGGATACAGGATCAGATTAGTAAAAAAAAATTGACCACCAGAAATTCTCGAGCGCGTCAGATTAAGGTAGGGTGAGTTAATTACATCCTAAAAAGTGTATATTCCACTAATCTGACAATTTGAGAGTGACGTAAAAAAAGGGGAGGGCAACAAAGTTGTAAAAAAAAAACGTCATCTCGACATTCTCGAGCGTAGCTAAAATTTTTTTTATTTTGAAGGAAATAATGCAAGAATAATGAAAAATATATAATCTGACGATTTCCGCAAGCCGAAATAACAAAAATTCGTCGATAAAGTTAAATGCGTGCAGCTGCGTGATGCCTACATTTCCTTCTCCGCGTTTCTATTCCTCTCTCACTCTTTCTCTATCTAAAAACTCTCTCACTCCGTCCCCACTCTGGTTTCTGCCGCCATGACACCATCACAGCTGATCATAAAGAGTCTAGGGGTGTGCGAACATCGTTCGAATCGAATCGAATATCAATGTTCGATTCGAAATTCGAAAAATTTCGAATAATTCGTAAAAATTTCGAATAATTCGAAAGTTTTGGAATAATTCGCGAATTAATGAAATATCTCTGGATCTTCAATTCGAGAGATATCGTGAACGAAAGAAAACCGAAAAAAAGTGTTTTTTCGGGATTACTCCGACATTTTTGGTTCGATCAATTAAAACCTGAAAATAACTTATGAGGATAATAAAACTGCGTCGAATGCCGTCAACCGCGTGAAAATTGCTTGATCTATTCAAAAGTTATTGCGGTTTGAAAATTCCAAAAATAGTGTTCTATGAAACCTCTATCAGACTTTCGAGCTGGGAGAGCTCAAATGCATAGAAATATTATTTCTTTGAACTCTGCGAGCTCAAAATATCACATAAATTATATTTTGAGCTCAAAAATACCATAAGTACAATTTTAAGCGCACAGGAATGGAATTAGCGGGAAGTTGCAGGTATGGCCTTTAAGGTGAACCGTTTTTCTAATTTTTTTTTGTCAGATCAGGCGAATCCCTCTAGATAATCGTCAGATTATGAGACAGTACGTTTAGAACATAAAGATGAACCATATATATCTTAATCTGACGCGCTTGAGTATTTCAAAATGGCGATTTTTTTTTGCACATTATGAAAATGGCCGCGAGTTTGCGTCCCATCGAAATCGTCAGATTAGTGAATGAGAGCTTTTTTTTGGTGCAATTAACACTCCCTTAGAAAATCTGACGCGCTCGATTAAATTTTTTTTTTTTCATTTTCAACCCTTAAATACAACCACCCGCATCATGCAAACGATCAGATTAACATACGTACATTATTAAAAATACGTAGGGCATTGATGCTATCAATATCTGACGCGCTCGAGGATGTCTATGCAACAGTTTTTTTTACATATTTAAAAATCTATAGCCGCTTCCCCCACCGATGTAAAGGTATATATCATATAACATTTTTTTCTTCTTATCATCTAAGCTTTGCATCCCAATAGGTCTCTACGACGCTCGAGTAAATCCCCATTTAGCTTCGTGGGCTCCCCTACCATAATGCATATATTTACCATATTTAACAGAATAAATTATAGACTCTTAGTATGATAGATGATTTAAGAGTGCAAATGACTACTATTTTTTTACTTACTAGCTGTTGAACTCGTAATCCTAATTTACCGAGTTAATTATAGTTATTTTTTATAATTTGCTAATACATATTTTGACACTGACAGTTCACTATCTAATAGTTTTCACCAGTATTTTGACATAATATTTAGGTTGCATCCATTCTCAACTAATAAAATTTTAAATAAATGTTTTTAATGATATTAGTTTTATCTTACCTCAGCAAAGGATTTTGGGAACAGATGTTGATCTTCAATGACATGAGCAAAACCTGGATCCATGCCAAAGTCTACCCAAAAGTATGGCAAGCCTTTAGGAATCCCCTTTCTAATATTTTTTCCTTTTAAATTTACAATTTTTTTATTCATTGCCCATTCAGTTTCACATTCCAATAAAGCTTTTTTGAAATAAATTGATGCCATATCCCCAACATCTCTTGGCAATGGAACACAATTTATAACCATATGAGGAAATCGATTTAATTTGATAGCAGTCTCATAAAATATTACATCTTTGTCTTGCAAGTTAAAGAACTGAGTGATTAGCTTTCTGTAATTCTGAAATCAAGAAAATATGTATTAGATTATAAAGTATTAGCATTGCCCGTGGCACCACCTGCGTTCAGAGGACCAAAAACCAAATCCTTAGGTTTCACATATTAGTATACTCCTATATTGCAGTTTTTGTATTTTTTCTCAGAAATGAGATCAGTAAAAACTATCCTATATGTTGACCCAGGTAACCAGCTATCACCATACTAAATTTCATAAAAATCCCTCAAGTGGTTTTTTCATGATGCGGTAACAGACAGACAGACAAAAATTATAAAAACTATTGATTTGGTCTCGTATCGAAGATAATGTCTATTTTAATAAGATTTTCCAAAAAATATTTAATGTACAGATTTGGCTTAGAATTTTATTATATGTATAGGTATATTGAAATACTTAGCTATATAAGAATGGAGAATACATTGCAATAGAAATATTTTTAGGGTAACCATACAGTTATAATAAAGAGTATTGTATCAGCTATACAACAATCCTACCATTATTTCTTCCCACACATCTTCATCTACATTAGTCACACAACTTAAATGTTGTATAGTACTAAGAATGCAATGTCCTGGCACAAGTGATTTTGTTGCAGGTAATGCCATATAAATTCTGCTGCCACAACTTGTTATGAGGTGTTTCAACATATTTCTAGAATCAAAGCAATAGTTACAACCATCTAATGATCTTTCTAATTTTAAATTCTGTTCTATGGCCCTCTGTCTTTCCTTCTCACTTTCTTTAGCTTCATTTTTGTTCTTTGATATATTGTCCAAAAATATATCTTCCAGATCATCATTTGGATTTTTACTTTTACTAGCAACTTTTGCCAACTCTGCATCTTCATCATAATTAGAGCCATATTTCTCTTCTTGAAACTGAAATAATCAGTATTATTATTAGGACTATAATAGGTAAAACATTAATCAATAATATGTAAATATATATAAATAAAACATTTTTTTCTTATATATACTGACCATTCGGGCTAAGTCATACTTGTCATCATTTCCAAAGTATTTTAGTCTTCCACTACTATTATGAGTTTCTGCTTTTCGTTTTCCACCTTTGCTATGGGGATCTCCAAGGTTATTTACAAGTGGCCGACTATTGCCACTAGTTGAAGTAGACATTAACAATACCCTATCATCATCATCAATTTTTCCTGCATTGGGATTGTTTTTCCTATATTCCCGAGCTGCTTCTAACTTAGCTTTTAGCTGTTCTACCAATTTCATATCTCCAAGTATCTCAGCTTTCACAATTTTAGCACCAAGTTTATTCATCTTTTCATCTGACAAATATAAACTATCTTGGTGTTTAGACTGATTTCTAGATGCTTCAGATTTTATTTTATCAATATTTATAGAAGATACTTCTCCACTACATTGTGCAATTTCTTCTTGCACACACTCTTTTTTTTCCTTTGAATGCTTTCGCCAATTGTATGATTTGTCTACATTTAAATCATATCTTTTGGCTTCTTGTTTGTTCTGATTTTTGGTCGATGAATAGAAATCATCATCATTTGATGGTTTTAAAAATTGTCTTGATTTTCTATAATCATCTGGAGTTTGAGGTATACCGGAACCACCACCTTTCCAATAAGGATTAAGTTCTCTACTACTTGTAGCTGGATTATAAGAATCAATATGATGTTTTTCTTTTACTTCTCTCTTTGGTTTAATATCATCCTTTGTAAATGTTTTCATCATTCCGGTCATCGACATCCATTCCTCGCGATCTGATTTCTTCGATACTGTTTTTTTCTCCACCCAATCATCAGAACTAGAGCTTTCAGTAGACTAAAAAAATCAAAAGACGTAAATATTAAATGTGTGATTGTTGATACATAAACTATTTGTAAAATTAACATAATAATTACGTTTGTTCGTCTATCGCTTTTTTCATCACGTTTGGATTTTCGTTTATGAGATTTTTTATCCTTTTTTTTATGTCGTTTTTCCTTCATGATTATTTTTTGCCTATTGTCTTAGTTTCTCACAAAATAAAAATTAAAATGTAAAAAAGAACACAACATTTATTCAAAGATATCTTGACAAGAGAATATTTCAATATTCAATATTCTCTATGGACAGTGTACTGTTTTGACTTTTGACTCCACAGACTACTAAGAGAGAGAGAGAGAGAGTCGAGAGATATGACCACAAACTAAATAGAGATACTATGCATGTTATGACTAAAGGCCCCTACTCAAAGCACTGCCTGCAGGTCCCTGTTTGCAGTGCTACTGCCAATCGTATTGTGTGTATGCATGCAGGGCCGATATTTTAATTGTTCTCCCTGCCGCAGGGCCGCAGTGTCATTCTGCCATCCCGACGTACGATCTCCCCACTCCAAATACTGCAAGCAGCGCAATGTGTAGCACGGTCGGGCCGATTTAAGTCGCCATTTTGTATAATCTATGCTTGCGATGATTGTCAATGTCAATTTGACATTTTTGGTTTTGTCGAGAAGCGGTTGTTTCAAATTTTGTTTACACTAAAATAGTTTAAATAACATTGGTTTTGTCTCCAAAGCTTTATTTTCATCAGAAAAAGGGGTCCACGCGAAAAAGACGTGTGGAGAGACATGTTTGAACTGTATCTACATTACATATTAATAATTTTACATAGTAACTGTGGTGAAATTATTGCTCTAAATTTCAAGTCTTCATAGCTGGCCCCAGTAGCAAGAAATCTTAAAGTAACAATTAATCTTTCTCTTGCGCTTACAGTATCTCTCATCAATATATCTTCTTTTTCAATGAATGGTGTCACCATTGTCAATAAATGTTCAAATTGTGATTCATCCATTCTAAGAAAGTTTTTAAAATCGTCAGGTTGTAATTCTCTCAGTACATTGGCGTGACTCAAAGTCTTTCGTAGTAGTAACCATTTTTTACACCAAGAATTTCTTTTTTTATTTTTAACGCCACCACTAGTACTCAGTACAGTCAAAGCCAATGCTATTTTTTGGTGTTTCGATAATATAGGAGCCATCTTTTTTTTACTGATGAGTCTAGGAAAGGATTTGAGAACACCACTGAACGTAACAACGGCAGCCGCACTAATGACTTGCAGGGCTTTGTGGAGCAACACCCTCTGCGGCAGTAACTACAAGCAGGCACTGCAGGCAGTGCTTTGAGTAGGCCCCTTAAACTGACACTGTTTTCCAATTAGAGCACTAAAGCGCATTAACCACTTGAATCCCGCTGGTGCCTATAGGCACCACCTCGCCCGCTGCACTGTTATCATTTATTACACGACAAAATTAATTTATTTTATGCTCAATGAGTGATACACGTAAACTTTAGAAGTTTTATTAATTATATAATAAAATAAAATTTTAATTAAGTAAAACGTAGGGTTACTTTGTCTTTGGCAGTAAGTGGTATAATGCTAACTTCGAATGCTTTAACTACCGCAACGCTCCGCATAATCGAGCAGTTTGAAAAGTACGGCTGCTTTGTAGTAGTGCTTTGGCAATTGGCGTGATGCGCGTAAGGATACCAACTCATTAGCAGAAAATATAAGAAGTGTTTTGTGCTGTGTTCAAGGTGGCGTTAATCAAAATTTTATTTACAATTATCCTTAGTAATATTGTTTATTTTTGAATAGTTCTTTCGACGAGTCCGTTACGCTACATTCATACGCTTGGCAAGTTCGACAAGCGTCTTTATATCGTTTTTTATATTTTTTGGAATTTTTCCTTTATTTGCTTGCTTTTTGCCAAATTTCGTGATTCTAGGTCAACGTGAACTACCATATAGGTTTCTGGCCCAAAACCTATAGGGTACTTTCGGTTGACCTAGAATTGTCAATTTTGGTTAAAAGCAAGGTCTCACAGCATAAGTAAAGGGAAAATTCCAAAAAATAAAAAGAGTTGAAAGTTAAGGTAAATTTTGGTAATCTAAATTTGCCCATACCTTTTTATTGTGTTGATTTTTATACACCTAATAGGGACTATAGACCTCAGTATCTAGTATAAATTTAAACTTTCTAGGTCCACCTAGAGAGTGATCTTATAAGGTTTCCTTTTTTACCTTTTGAGGTACGGAATCCCAAAAAGTTAATTTATACTGTGTTCAAAAATAAATGCATGTATGAAGCTTACGTATGTATGTATGAAAATTCAAGGAGGCACTGGTCAAAATATTATTTACAATATCGCTAGTAATATTTGTTTATATTACTAAATTTATAGTTAGTTATATTTTTTCTTTCAACACTAGACCTAGTGGCCTCTGCTGGTGCACTTGAAAACTAATTCACGTTCCAATTAAGCATTAGAACACTTCGGTATTGTGCGCCAAAGTGCGGCATTATTCTCTGTAATTGGAAAATAGGGTAAAGGGATAGTAATCATCGATGAATAATTAAATTAGTATTCTGACAACGTCCTTAATATAAAGTTTGAAATAGACGTTCAGATATTATCCGTAATCGGATCGGAATTATTAATCGTACAATCCCATTTTAATTACTGGTAGGAGCGCCACAGGATTTGGTACTTAGCCCTTTATTGTACACGTTATCCAAAACCTATGCGTGGCGAAATCCTAAATTGTCAACCAATAACTAGCTATTCATATACCAAATTGAACTGAAAATTGAAACCCATATGGATACAGTATCTAAAACTAGTGATCAGTTTAATACAGTGGGCTGAAAACTAAATCTTAAAACATATTAAACACTACGTGGTTCATAAATTTCACAGAAATCCATTAACATCAAAGCAGCGCCTCTCTACTCGACTTAAGTCTACATTAATGATTGATCTCGATTATGTCTGTTTCAACATTGGTATATATAAAATGCGACATATTAAACATCCAACGTTAATGGCTACTACAGATCATCTTGTTCCTACAACATCATACATAGGTACTAAAACTAGGGCCTTTTCAAATTAAGCACTAAAGCGCATTATGCGACATATTGTTCAACTTCAAATTTTTCAACTACAGCAACGCTCCGCACAATCGAGCATTTTGAAAAGTACTGCTTTGGCGTGATGTGCGCAACGGATACCAACTCAGTAGCAGAAAATATAAGAAGTGTTTTTTCGCGCTGTTCGTGTTTGTGCGCCAAAGTGAGGCATAATTCTCTGTAATTGGAAAACAGGGCTAACTGCTGTCGAGCGCACAAAAAGCCGCATTATTCTCTAACCTGTGTGGCACACATAGGCAGTGTAGTCGCCTCCGGCTTCCCCCCAAATTTAGGGATAACAAAATTGCTTTAATAGCATGACTTAAATATAAATAGCGTTTTATAAATTTTCGTTTAAAGACTTGGAAAAATCATATATCTTTAAATATCATTTGCATAATTTATCCTTTTTTTATTATTTTCTAAGTTATCTGCGAAATTTATTGTTATCATTAAATGGTTATATTATGTAATTATTACAGTAATAACCATATTTTACGCTACTTGTAATGATTTAAAACAAAAAAATAATAAAAGAAATTGTATTAGACTTTAAGCAACAATACTTAGACTAGATTTACGTAGTAACTAATACTTAATCTGTGGACTAGATAGCGTGTTAAATGGTTATATTATGTAACTATTATAACAATAACTACATTTTATGCTACTTGTAATAATTTAAAATAAAAATAATAATAAAAGAAATTGTATTAGACTTTGAAAGTCTCTCTCTGTGACACGTTATCACGTGTCACAAACAAAATTAAAGCTAAATTCTGTCCGCGCAAATATGTACATATACAGTTACATTTGTATACTAACGAACCAAGCCAAAGTATTATAATAGTTTCATTTTCAACCTAATCAACACCATATCACCTTGTAATAAAGTCACAAATCTTCCAATTATTATTATACACTTACGATCATTTCGTAATTTTTATAATATTAACTGTAAAATGAACCTTATATTGAAAACATAAAGCACTTTTTTCCGGTATTTCTTTGTGAGCTAAATCGTTGTTTTGTTTCTGTTTGCTTCTTTAAATTTCGCCAAAAGTTTTTAGCGGATTTAAAATTGTTCAAAATATCATTTTTATATTATTTCGTAGGTTAAATTTTAAAATATTCCGACGATATAGTATAAACAACGAAGATATAAACGACGAAAATAAGACACTTTGTTCGAAAAATTTCTCCTTCGTGCATTATTTTTGCAACGTTTAAATACACATTGCGGTATTATGAATGTGTTTACGCTTGCAGTGTTTCAATAGAACTAATGAAAATATACGCTCACTTTGCAAGTAAGCTTATATTTACCGAGACGGATTTCTCACACCGACACGATATCTAGTAGTATTGTTGATCGAAGGTATTACATAAAAATCTAAATTTTACAAATTGTCAGTTAGGGGGCTTTAGGGGTTTTTGAAATTACTTTTAGGGGGATAAAATTTTAAGTGTTGGCAGCACTGGTGATAGAAGTATGAATAGTTTTGTCATTTGTGTGGTATTCAATAAAGTTAGGTGAAGTGCATGATAAAAAACTAAAAATTGTATATTTATGTTGTTGTTATAAGTTATTGCAATGGTAATTCTTTGTTAAACTGTGTTTACATTTTAAATTTCTGAGATATTTCAATATTTTTCTAAATAGTGTATTGGGTATAGCTACTCAGAATTCCATAAAGTGAAATTAAATTAATAAGGTGTGTTTGGATCGGTGTAAGGTAACTGCATACTGGTTAGTATTGTGTTTTTATGTTTTTATATTTAACTTTCTATAGTGAGCATAATAAGCTTAAACAATTTGAATCAATGATTATTCATACTATTTAGTTTCGCATTCGCTTTCTATCGGATGTATCTGTTGTCATTTAAAGTTTTAACTCTTACTTCATACTTGTGATCTACACTTTCTCGGTTTTTTGTGTTATAGCAAATACTTGTCGTGTATCTTCAAAATAGATAATATTATTAAATAAAACTATCTTTTCGGATTATTTCGCGGATTTATTTTGATTTTTGGTTCCCGACGTTTCGAATGCTTTACAGCATCCATGGTCACGGGAGAGACTGATATTGATTTTTTATAGATTCTAATAATTAAGAGTAAACAATTTTTAATGTTTTGTCTAAAATGTTGTTATTTATTTCAGAAAATTAAATTGTTATTGCATGATGTTTTCCAAGAAAAAGAAGAAGCCATTGATTTCTCCACCTAGTAATTTTGAGCATAGAGTACACACTGGTTTTGATAAAAGAGAGGGTAAATTTGTTGGATTACCACTACAATGGGCTTCTCTTGTGGGTAATAACCAGGTGAGATAAGATTTTTATAGTAAACATCTCAAAATTTTATTATAATGTATAAATTATAAATTAATACAACTCATAATAATGTAAGCAACATTTAGATGTATTAATATAGGTTCTAAAATGTTTTAGGTTCTCAAATCTACAAACAGACCATTACCATTGGTAGACCCTTCTGAAATTACTCCAACTGAAATATTAGACTTAAAAACAATAGTGAGGGGTGATCATCGTACTACCTCAATAGCTGCTGTATCAAGACCAGTCTCCACAAATCCAACTTGCCAGCCCATACAAAATGGAGTTATTCTACCAAAAACTTCTAATGTAGCAAGATCCAACTCATTGAGAAGTACAAGCCCACCAAGAATTAGAAGAGATCTTCGTAATCAACCAAACATTCCACCTTCAGTTCCTGAAGAGTCACCTCCAGTTCCACCAGCTCCTCAACAGTATCCAAGCTTAAGACGTGAACATAGTAATTATGCATTAAACAAGCCTATTTCAGATTCTCCTGTGGAGTGGGCTCACTCTCATGAAGCTACAGTAAGACCTGTCACTGAAATAAATGACAACCAATTAGCAGCGATGACATATCAGAATATACAGAATGCGAATGCTAATATGCCTTACCATAATCATCCACCACAACCTATGGTTCAGGGACATGGAATGAATGGAAATAATAATTTAGGTAAGTAGACATAATAATGATTTATATTAATAGCATTTCTCTAATAATTTACGTAGGAGCATAGCAGATTTACATTAAATAAGTCATTCTTAGTTTTATTATTATTAGTTTGAGATGTTATACTTTCTTAGACTTATGTGAATATTTGCCATTTCAAATAAAACTATCTATTCAGATTATGTAATTTTGTATCAATATAATTACATCCTAAATATTGACTTGGTTATTAGTCTTTCTATTAATTTATTAAAATTAATTAAGAAAACTTTTTGAAAAAACTTAAAAAAAAAACTATTTATCACCCCTTTTTTTTCTGCCTACTCCATTGAAACACAATCCTTAAAGTCAGTCCAGCTATTTTAAATATTTGCCACAAAGAAATTAAATGAATGATATTTTTTAAAAGGATTGTTGTGGGTTTTGTAAAAACTTGCACCATGAACTCAATATAGAAGTATAAATTAATGCTAATTGTAATTAAACTTCTATATATATTGCTAAGCAGCTTCTTTTTTTCTCTTATTCACATCTTTACACATTGTGTCATATTCTTAATAGCATTTAATTTACTATTAATTAAAAGTACACTTACTATTATCATGAAAAAATTGGTCATTGGTATATTATTAATACTACAGGGCAGAAGTTGTAAAATAATAAACCCATATATCAATCAATTGGTCAGTGAAATTATTTGATTCATAATATTTTTTTGCATTTAGGTGACACATATTCATTGCGGCAGCAGCCCGGACCTCCTGCACCTCATGTGCCTATAACTGAATCCAAACATGAATTACGATTAACACATGAACAGGTAATTATTCTTTTTTTATTATGAAATATTTCAAAATAACAATTGTTTATCAAAGTCAAGAAAAATATTCACTCAAATTGGTAGTACTTATGTATGTACTATCAATTTGAGTGTAAATTTTTTGTGTTTGTTATGCAATACTTTTGCCAAATGTGAATCTATTTACTTGTTTTTGAAGTGAAACTTCTTTAGAATCGTTGTGATATGAAACTAGATGAACAGAAATGCGACACTAAAAAGAGACACATGAATATATAGGATTAAGCCGACGATAGAATATGATAGAATACATTGCCATGTTGCCATGGTAACCGTTGTTATTGTCTGACATTTATACATAATCTAATAAAATTGTAACTAAGCCGAATCTGTACATTAAATATTTTTTGGAAAATCTAATTGAAATAGACATTATTATCGATACGGAGTCCGAATCTATAGTTTTTAGAATTTTTGTCTGTCTGTCTGTCCGTCCGTCCGTCCGTCCGTCCGTCCGTCCGTCTGTCTGTTACCGCATCACGAGAAAATAACTGGACAGATTTTGATGAAATTTGGTATGATGATAGCTGGATATCCGGGTCAACATATAGGATTTCTGAGAAAAATACAAAAACTTCATTGTAAGAGTATACTAATATGTAAAACCTAAGAATTCGGTTTTTAGTCATCTGAACGCGGGCGGAGCCGCGGGCAATGCTAGTATTTATACAATATTCAGTTTCACTTCTACCATGTGTGAATTGCACACACAAAACTTTTTTTTGTATAAATTAATAGGATATTCTTCAATATATTTAACGAAAAATGTATCCCCTATTTTGCAATTACAACCCTTATCATGTCAATTTGAAATTCCACCAACATTTTTGTTAAAAAGCAATTTTTTTGTGAACATTTAATCAAACTTAATTAACTATCTAGTAATTTTCTGTAAATGAATAAGTCGATAATATTCAACACAATTATAGTTTTAGCTGAATTGTGTATTAATTTAAAAAAAAAATTTTTAAGAAAATAAAATAAATAGTTACAAAAAAAGGAGTCCTAAGAGACACACAATACAAGTAAGCCTACAGAAATTAAAACTTAAAACTATAAAGAAACAGTTGTTATTTTTGGATATTCAAATTAATTGTTTGATATTAAATGACAATTTGTAAATTAGAACTCGTTTACATTTATCAGGTTTTGACATCTATCGGCACTCTGAGTGTTAGCGTTAACACGTCACGTGACCTTGTCGATGACTACTTGCATGAATTTGCTCCCCCATCCAAAACTGTATAGAAGTTTTCACTTCCTAAAAATATCTGTAACCAAATTAATTGTTACGTTAAGTTTTTATATTAGAAAGAAACAAATTCCAAAATGTCCGTTCTAAGTAGGCAAGGGTATTACGTATGGTGAATAAGCAAATAGCTATTTAGTTTCTTTGTAACACTGTCCTGGAAACCTTCTTTAGGTAAATCGCTTTGGGATGTAGCTCACGACCTCTTTGATCCTTAGCTCGCCTTTTGATAAACTGTTCGAGTTGCTTAGCTTTTTAACCTTTTTGCTTTTAGTTCTATATCAAATATTTTACAAATTTATTTGTGCCTATTATGCTCTGGATTTTAAATAAAAAATGTTATAGAGTGGTGTCAGATTATTTATGACGTTATAAAAAATAATCTTTATAGCATATCATGATTTTATAGATAATATAATGTTTAATGGAAACGGTAGTGTAGTAGATTGTTTCTAGCGCTATCTCTGACTTTAAAGATCGCCGGTTCGATTCTCGTGGAGCTACCATTTGTTTTTGATTAATATAATATACATATTCGTCTGGACCAATCAAAGAGGATAAATGCTCTACAACGAAGTGAGATATCACGATTTTTAAATCTGCTCTGCAAAAGATGTTTTGTTGCAATTTTGAATTTATGCTTTAAATGGACTTACATCAACTATTTATTCCACTTCATCTTTTCGCAAAACAATAATCATTAGAGATTTATCATTCAATGAACGTTAATTTTAGTTAAAGTTTATAACAAACAAAAAATCTTACGGATAAATATTGTGCTTGATTGTCGATACGATCGTATACTTACCTTATTAGTGACTAGCGACTCATTCTCGCTTCGCTTGGGTTCGTCCCTAGGTACATTTTTTTTTGAGCGGAACCCTAATTCTTTTACGGAAGTAAAAGTAGCCTAAGTTACTCCTTATAATATCAACTACCTGCCAGTGAAAGTCCCGTCATAATCGGCCCAGCCGTTTTGGAGATTAGTCGGAACAAACAGACAGACAGACATTTTTTTTAAAAATTGAGTTTTTCTTATAAATACCGTATATAATTCCATATGCATTTAGTAAAAAGCTGTTATTTTGACATTACAATCAGACACTTCAATTTTATTTATCCGTAGAGATATGTATTTTTAACCTTTTTTACATATAGTTCCGTGCCGCCCTGCGTTTGGTGGTGAGCGAGGGGGATCCCCGCGAGACGTTGACGGGGTTCAGTAAGATCGGCAAAGGCAGTACAGGTGTGGTGTGCGCGGCGACCGACACGCGCACGCGCCGGCGGGTCGCCGTCAAGATGATGAACCTCAAGAAACAGCATAGACGGGAGTTGCTCTTCAACGAAGTCGTGAGTAACTATTTGGAGTAGGGATAAATTAAAACCAACTCCAATCGAATATCATTTACATCAGTTTAATAATGTGTGAAACCTAATAATATTACATGACATATATAGCAACTTATTTTTTCTTCTTCTTTTTAAACGGGCGAAACGAAACAACATATACAAACTCTTTAGTGTTTCGCCACAACAATCAAACAAATTATTCTCGGTCCTACATATTTCTTTCCTTTTCTTTCTTTGTAAAATCTTTTTGGAGCGGCAACGTAGCATATTATTTCGCCGTCTAGGGTGCTTGATATTTGTGTATTTAGCTTACGAGTAAACGTTATGTTTTTTTTGTTTTTTTTTTATAAAAAAAACGTTATGTTTTAAAATTTCAAAATAAAAAGAACCCTATTGCTTTAATAATTGTTTTTTTATATTAGTCTCGTATGTTTTTAAAACTTCGCCTACGGGAGGCATGGGAATTTAGTAAATTACAGGTTTATGTTTCAGTAAATATGTAAATACTAAATATGTACCTAACAAATATAAAATATAAAAAAAGTTGAGAGGTGTCGTTGGACACCAGGTAGGAACGAATTTCCTTTCGCACTCTGCTCTTGGCTTGATATTTTGTTGTTGACGTCACATGGGTGCTCTTAATAAACAATTAAAAGTGTTGTGACGGTTAAAGTATCACACTCTTTCCCGTCTAGCTCTCATTCGCCAAGTGTGCAGATTGTAACGTGCGAAAAAGAACTTTCTATTAATTAAATAATACTATACTACTATACTACTACTATTATACTACAATACACCCTCTATCCCCCGTCTCGTAGGTGATAATGCGCGACTACCCGCACCCCAACATAGTGGAGATGCACGCGTCGTACTTGGTGGGCGACGAGCTGTGGGTGGTGATGGAGTACATGGCGGGCGCGTCGCTCACGCAGATAGTGACGCGCGCGCGCATGGACCCCGAGCAGATAGCCACCGTGTGCAAGCAGTGCCTTAAGGTAATAATAATAATAATAAAAACTCTTTATTGCACGCACAACAGAGGAAGAAATAAAAAAAAGAACAATATAGTAGTCAGAAAATGCCCAAGAGGCCGCCTTATCGCTAAAACAGTATAATGGTTTAGCTTTAAAATAAAAGGTGATGTTACTATAGTTAACTTATACTTTATATGTACCTCACCTTACCAAGCTAACCCTTTAGCCTACTGCAATTTTGACTTCCAATATGCGGGCTGCAGCATATGAACACAATAGTACCACTATATATTATTAATTAAAGTTGAGATTGTTGGTTTTGTGTACGGATTTTAAAACAGTTCTCGCCAATATAAAGAGGGATTACCTAGGAAGGTTAAGGCCTATAATTTACAAGAGTTTTACAAAACCAATGTACCGGTACGATGAAATTGGTGAGCGGTCCCTTAGGCCACAATGCATCATGATTCTACCGCCACAAAAACTGTCGAAAGAATATTCATTCTGCAGAAGTCATTTTCCAGAATGTTATAATTTAAGGGTCCCAACTAAAACCTTAAATATATGCAGTACATTATATATATATACTACCACTATACGTATATGTTGCCATTATTTTATTGCTCTATAGGCGGACGTGCCCAATTACCACCTCATTTGCCTGCAAACAACAAGCACATTTATTAGTGTTTATACCGATTTCAGGAATCTAAAGTTTTATATTATCTCTATCTTTGTATTTATAATATCACTTAGGGAAACATCAGTTAGGGAAAAGTTTCTAGGACATATAAAAGGTCAAGTATTTTGAATACTATATTTATTCTAATACTTTCTAAGATTTACGCGAATATTTGATATTTAAAAAAAAGTAATCTCTTCAGATTAATTTACAGATTTATTTCGATTTTTGGATCCCGACGTTTCGAATGCTTTGCTGCAATCATGGTCACGGGAGAGACTAAGGTTTTTTAGACGTCTTAAAGGCGTTATATACTTGTTATAGACAGTACTTACCCATAATTTTACAAAATTTTAAAAGATAGTTTTATTTAAAACTATATTTATTCTAGTTAATTTCTAATATTATGTTTACAGGCATTGGCATTTTTGCACGGCCAAGGAGTTATTCATCGAGATATCAAATCTGACTCAATACTTTTGACAGCCGATGGACGAGTGAAACTATCTGACTTTGGCTTTTGCGCTCAAGTATCACAGGTATGATATTATTTTTTGAAGTTATTAAATTTAATTTACATATTAAATTGATTTTTCTATTTTATTATTATTGTAATAAAAATAAGTAGTGTGTGCTATAGTGGGAGTTTACACGAATTAATATAAAATTAAAAGCGCGCCATCTAGCAACAACAAAAGTTTATTTAAAACCACTTCCACTCTCGACATTATGAACCAATTTCACTTAATTTGTGTAAATCTGTTTTTTTATTCTTCATTATATCTATTTTATCTGTATTTTTAATTAACAACAATATATAACAATATAAACAACAAATAATGTTACAAAATTTATTAAAATGTAACAGTATGGTGAAATTCTGCCTCACTCGATTAATGTAACGGTGAAGTCTCTCAGAAAATTATGGAAGTCACACTCAAGCCAACCTTTGTTAAAGATGAGTTTTAACTAGAAATCACAACATATATAATGCAAGTCACTAGTGACTAGGTAGAGCATGGGCGGCTTAATACTAACATTTAATTATTGTAACCTAAATATGTATATTGATTTTTTATACTTATTAGTAAATATGTTTTATTTTTAGGAACTACCAAAACGAAAGTCTTTAGTAGGGACGCCATATTGGATGTCACCGGAAGTAGTGTCTCGGTTGCCATACGGACCGGAAGTTGATATTTGGTCACTCGGTATCATGCTCATAGAGATGGTCGATGGAGAACCACCTTTCTTCAATGAACCGCCATTGCAGGTATGCACTTTTTAGTTCTATTTTATTAATTATATAATTTGTGTCATTTTGTAAAAAAACATTTAGCCTGGATGATTTAAATACTTTTCATTCATTACTTTAACGTCATTATAAATGTAATTAGCTACAGCTGGCGGCTTCTTATACGCGTTTTTAATATAACCATATATAACCCCACTTTATATGGTAATGTGAGAATGAGGAATTGAAACTATTTATATACACAAGTGTAATTTATATTAGAGATTTTGAATAAATTTGGTTGTCATACTTCAAGCTTTATTGCTTTTGATATATATGTTTATAAATATGCACGAAACTTCTAAAACTATTTAGGTGCATGTTGAATATTATAATAGACTCAAACATTTTCTATTACAATTTAAGAAAAGAAATTCAGAGCCTTTACTAAATTTTTCGATTTTTGATGGTTTTTTGATAGAATGAAAAAAACCCCATTCACTATAGCGCCAAAGTTCCAGAACACTTCTCTTAACATCTGTAAGAGTATCGGGATCCTAGGGGTCGAAATACAAGCGACGTCCAATTTAGATGTCATCTGGAAGAAAAAGCCAAACTGGCTTCCAAAAAAATGGGTGTCCTTAACAGAGCGAAACAGTATTTCACGTCAGGGCAGCGACTTTTGCTTTATAAAGCACAGGTTCGTCCTCTCATGGAGTACTGTTCTCATCTCTGGGCCGGCGCCCCCCAATACCAGCTTCTTCCATTTGACTCTATCCAACGCCGGGCAGTTCGTATTGTCAACGATCCCGTACTCACAGACGACTTAGACACTAGCCTTCGAAGAGATGTTGGCTCTCTGTGTGTTCTCTATCGTCTATACAATGGAGAGTGTTCTGATGAACTTTTTGACATGGTGCCACCGTCGCGCTTCTATCATCGCACCCTTCGCCGTCGGGTAGGATGTCATCCACACATTTTAGATGCTTGGCATTCTACAAATGTACGTGCGTCTCGATCTTTTTTACCCCGCACGTGCATGATGTGGAATGATCTTCCTCCCGAGGAGATCTTCTTCCCTGAGCGCTATAATATGGGGCTCTTCAAGAGTAATGTCTATAGGTCTCTTAAAGGCCGGCAACGCATTCGCAACTCCTCTTGTGTTGCAGATGTCCATGAGCGACGATAGCCACTTACAATCAGGTGGATCGTTTGCTCGTTTGCCCCTTTTTTCTATTAAAAAAAAAATGATTTTATTTGAATCAACTTTTTTTTCTCCTGACGAGATTATGACATCTATTGTTATCTATTTGAGACTCTGGGAAGGACATACGGTCTTAAGGGGGTGAAAATGAGGATGAAAGTTTGTATTGGGAAGCAACCCAGGGACGATGAGTCGCTAGTATTATTATAAAGTTAGTATGTAAGTTTAATTTGTGTAATGTGAATTTGAGTGATGAATTAATGGCGTACGTGCAGGCGATGCGCCGCATCCGCGACATGCCGCCGCCGCGGCCGCGCGGCGCCGCGCGCTGCCCGGCGGACCTGCTGGCGCTGCTGGAGTGCGCGCTGGTGCGCGACCCCGCGCAGCGCCACGCCGCCGCGCGCCTGCTGCACCACCCCTTTCTGCGCCGCGCCGGCCCGCCCGCCCTCCTCGTGCCGCTCATGCCCAACGACTGAGTGACGCCCGCACCTGCCGTGCCTGCCGCCAGGATGGGATTTAGGTTCGTTGAAAACGATAGTCCAAAAAATTTGTAAGGATAGTATTTGTAATAAATAGAGTACACTTTCTTATATTGAAAGTTTCATCCTTGAAAATCTTAGAATTTAAACGTATTAACATATCCTCAGTAGAAATGATTAATAAAATCAATACAATTTCCACTTTTGCTAGGTATCGTTTTTGATAACGTCGCCACGCAAGATAACAAAATGGCGTCTATGGATTGTGTTGCCAGTTTGTTTCTTATCTTAGTCTTAGTAAGGTTCACTTTACTGAATATTCTCTCACAGTCAGCATTAGCATGGGGAAATTCTAAGCAATCTAAGGCAAAATTAGCCATTCATGTAAAGTAATAAAATTATAGTATTTTTTCATACCATCCTTAGATATGGATATATAATACGAAGCATGAAATTGTAGTATAAATACTATAATTATAGTACGAAATTCAAGCCTGCCTGCCGCGCCTGCAGGTACAGAGCGAGACGAATGTGCGGGGAGAGAGGGACGGGTATAGTGCCACGCCAACACGCAGAATGATGCGATATGTACGAAAGTTTCCATGGACGGATGTTTGTTACTCAATCTTGCCAGAACGGCTGAACGGATCTGGATGTAATTTGGCACAGAGATAGATTATAGTCTGGAATAGCATAGGTTACTTTTTGTCCCGAAAAAATGTACGGTTCCCGTTGGATATCCATGCTAACCGTTAAAACGTACCCAAGGAAAACTCGAACGAAGCGAGGATGAGTCGCTAGGAATTATAATAAAAATACACAGAACTAAAAAAAGAAATGACAAAAATATACAAGATGAAATAATTTTTTATAGTACTTTCTATGACCAGAATGATTTTGGTGGGAACCAAATCTTACATAATCTCGCCAAAAGAACGCAGAACTCTAGAAAAACAGCTCATGTAATTATTGGATGTCCTTTTATATGGCATAGGAGTGATTATTAAAATGGTATTTATATATAGCCAGTTCTGTTGGTGGGAAAAAAATAGGTGTGTGATAGCGCTCTAGTGTATGTGTGTTTGTGTAATGTAAGAAAGCCTGCATACTGATTATATTAAGTCTTCGAAGGTCCTCCAAACTCCAGAATATCTAAGTATTGCATGTGTTATATGTACACAATTTTTGTTCACTATACTAAAATAATTTCTATTTCTATATTTTAAAGTGATTCTGTTTCATTATTGCTCTTTTCTTTTCTTCCAGATGTCTCCTACAAATTCAATTCATTGGTAAACCATATCCAACTGAGAATATATTTTAAAGGAAGATGAATGAGCAATATGACTAATTCTTGTACCAACAGTTTACTTTATAAAAAATAATCTGCGTGATGCTCATTTACATTAATCTGACAAGTTTTGAAATCATTCAAATCAAAATATATTAAAATTTATGTTTTATTATCTATTTAAAAGCGATATTCTCGTACAACCCAGTGATAATCATTCCACCTATGTCATTCCTTTACTTTATTTGTACTTATGAAGTAAATCTTGTGTTATATTATATAGCTTGTTATTTAAACTACTTATTGCCTTAAATGTTAGTGATGATCTTTCAACCCCGTCCATTTTCTCTTTGCCTTGTTATTATACAATTTTAATATAACTTTAATATGCGTGGATATTGCGCGTGGATAAGCCATCATATTATGTTGATGTTATAAACATTTTTTTTGAAAGCCTTAATAAAAACTTTTTAAATAATATAAAAATTTACGAAATATTAAATGTTAATGCAGAATGATGTGAAATAAAAGTGACCTTATTCACGCGTAGTCTTTCAAAATTATTTACTAATCATTGAATATTCTTTTTTAAATGTTATTGTAGTATATAAAAATTAATTGGTTTGTAACGTGTGTTGATTTCTTAGTGCCAGTAAATGTGCCTATTAAAAATGTTAAATCAGTATTATATAAAAATGAAATTTGCTAAAATTACTACTTTGATTTTTTTTAACAAAAATTAAATTAATTTTATTGATATTTTAAGATGGTGTTAGTGGGATACTAATATATTATTTAACGTTCTAGTGCAAATATTTAACATAAAGTTAAAATGTATGTAACTGTTAAGATATTTTTCCAGTGGACATTCCAAAAAATCAAATTCTAAAATATAAAGTTATAATTGCCATCGCGTAAAAAGGGAATTTTAATTAAAAAAAAAAACTAAAAAGAAATAAAAAAATTGTAACTTTTTTTTAAATTACATTATGTTTAAAAATCTAATGTTATTTTTTTGTAAGAGGCTTATTTTTTTTTAAATATAGATAATATATAAAAACATTTGAAACTTTTGAAAACGCAACTAAATTATACCATTTTTTTTAAAGTCGCTATAAACGTATATATTAAATTACATGATACATGTGTATCTAAGTTTTTCATTAAAGCAAACTTAAATTCTATTTCAATATCGAAAGACTAAAATTTAGAATTTATTATATGAGAAATAAATATCTCATATTACATACATATAAACTAAAAGTACTTAATATGACGTACTCGTTTAAGAATCCGCCTTACATTTAAACTACAAAAATAAGTTTATATTAGAATTATAAACACTTGATTATTTTCTCGAAGTTCTATCTTTATGATTTTTAAAACATTAACATTGTTTAAAATTAAGAAATAAAACTAGATTACTTCAAATATTTTAATTTAGATGACAATTAACTTATTATGAGACGAAGTTTGTTGTAATAAAATTCTTCATTATTACCCATATGTTTATTGATATTATTTTAAACGGAAAAAGGAGCCGTGAACATTCTTTAGTGTAGAATAAGTGCCTTAATGCAGCCTAAATAGTTGTAAGCGTATATTGCACCTGTTGTTTGTTATTTATTAATATAATTCACGCGTGAAGTGTTAAATATAGTCATGTAAAGCATTCACTTTAAAAAAATATCGTGAGTGTACTTGTACGCACGTAAGAAATTATACTTCTTTGGCGTAACAGAATAACAATAGCTAAATATTTCATCCCGTATGTCACAACGCTATGTTTGTAAAAGGAATGCAGCTAACTTCATCATGTCGCTTTTTGGCTGTCGCTGTGTGCGCGCATCGTAAAAATTTTACATTCATGTTTTTTTCCAAACGCACCAAAAGAAGTATAATTTCAAAAATACCATGTCTCTCTGTGAAAACCAAAACAATCAATGTTTATATACTTTGTAATAAAATGTGTATTTATACTTTGACGACTTAATGAAAACATAAAGAAAACACCTCCTCGTTGCTTTAAAAGTTAGTTAAAGTATGTTAGATTTTATAAATATTGTATTTATATTTTATAACTAACTTTAGCTTCATAAATAACATGTTAATTATAAAGTCTTTATATAATAAAAAGTGCACTATATTTGAGTCTATAATATATATATTGATATTCGATTAGTTCTTAATTGAACAATTTAGAAGCGAATAAGTCAAATATTTGATTTTTCAATAATTGTGCACTCAATGTAATATGGAGTTTCGACTGTAGGAGAACATGTCCTCTGTAAATTTTTGTGAAGTTAGTTGTTTAAAAGTATAGGTTACAAAAAAAAAAAGCAGTCATGAGGACTGCCGACAGAAGTGAAAACTTAAAACTATAAACAAACAGTTGTTATTCTTGGAAATTCAAATTAATTGTTTGATCTTAAATTAAAATTTGTAAATTAAAACTGTTTACATTTATCTGGTTTTGACATCTATCGACACTTGAGTGTTAGCGTTAACACGCCACGTGACCATGTCGATGACGACTTACATGAATTTACTCCCCATCCAAACCCGCTTATAGAAGTTTTCACTTCAATAATTACTTAAAACGAACATAATATTTTACTTAATATTTTCAACGACGACATCGAATGTACTTCAAAAGTTAATAATGAATTATATATACTAACAGTACTCCGATATGTTATTCCAGGTCTTAGTCTATCTGTGTACTCATACAAATCTGTTCAGTCGTTTCAGTGTCAAGTAGTAACAATGATACATACAAACATTTATAACAGTATCCGATTATACATTATATACAACCTTTACATATATTTGAAATATATATACATGACTCCTATTAAGTATTTATAATCTTTATATCAGCTCATTGTTATTAGGGAAGACTAGCGACTTACCCTCGCTTGGTTCGGGTGCGTCCGGTATGGATTTTGTTTTCAATTTGGAGGGTTTTAATTTTTTTTGCGCGGAATCCTAATTCTTTATCTAAAATAAAAGTAGCCTAAGTTACTCTTTATAACATCAACTATCTGCCTGTGAAAATCCCGTCGAAATCAGTCCAGCCATGTCGGAAATTAGTCGGAACAAAGAGACAGATCGACACCAAAATTTTAAAATTGTTTTTTTTTCTTATTAAGTAAAATTTATACTTTCATAAGCATTTAATAAAAACTAAAACGCTGTTACTTTAATATTACAAACGGACATATATCTGTATAGATATCACGAAACATGTAACGTGAAACACCCGAATTGAGTTTGTCCTTTGTTTCTGTCTGACTAAGTTGATTTGAAACGCCTCACTAAATACAAATTTTTGTTTAATAAATAAATAAAAATAATTGTTACAATTGTTCTCTATTTTTGCAAAACTCCAAGTATTGTGGAATCTTTTTCATCTTCATTGTAACCTTGGGCAAAGTAAGTCTTTGTGCGCAAGACAATGACCATTAATTAAAAAAAATTTTTTTTCTAAAATCAATTAACATAATGAACTAGGACCTAGGGCTGTCCATTTTTAAGGATATCTACGTTATTTTTCATAGTAATTTTTAAAAATATTTCCACAATTTCAACCCTTATAACAAACGGAGCGTAATTATAATTATACTCGTACATATTTTCCGAAATTTCTTATACATGAATATTGTGCAATAGATTATGCGTTTTCTATAATTATTGCAACAATGTGCTGTAGTCGTAACATTTTCTTCATCACAAAATATTTCCGCCATTATTAAGTGACAAATTAGAAGATTTAATCATGTACATCAATTTTCTTAAGGTATATGCCAAATATTATCACATTGTTAAATAAGAACTGTTATAAAATATAGATTTTGAAAAACAATTTTCTTTTATTTACACCCTCCATAAGTAAATAAAAATGCATGTCGAATATTTAATGTTTATTTAGATTATTATGACAAATATTATAATTAACTTATTTATAGAACTCGTATTCGCACTCATCCTTTTTGATATTGTTTTTGTAACCCTTTTCGAAGTCTTTCGGTAGCACGATGTACCTGTAATAATTAATGACAGTAAGCTCATTATTTGGTAATTTTGTATACATATACGTCCCCGTAAAATTATAAATACGTTACCATTTACAATTTTACGGTGATAATTTTATATAAATTATGAGAGGGAAATGAAACGACCGAGGGTGTAAAACACCGGAGTAGTGTACTAAAGTTTATACTAAGTACATACTATAAACTTTAGAATATAACATAACTGTCTCTGTGCATATATGTCGCATGTACGGCTGCATAGCCGGAGGTCCTGGGTTCGAGTCCCGGGTTGGGCCAAGTTTGGTCGTAGAGTTTTTCTGTTAAGAAATTTAAACAGCCCGGAGTTGGGAAGTTGGCGGTGTTTCACCCGAGGCTGAAGCAGAGCACTAAAGTCTACCGGGCGCGTCCCCCAGGTGGCGGATCGAGCCGAAGACGTTGCGGTGGTAGGGCCCAATGGAAACAAGGGTAAGTTGCTAGTAAAGGGTGGGTTGCACCGGTGGTAGGACCGCTTGATCCCACAACCGGATGATGGGTGCCGGTTGCGGGACTATAATCGCAGGCCCGCATCCGGCGGAGGGGTAGGCCGCGGCGAGAGAGGAGTACCGGTATTTCGGTGCGCCGTTCTCCCTATCTTCCGCGGCCTAGACGGGGCCGCCACCGTTTGATGGCGGACGCGGTGGGGCTGCAGGGGAAGAGGAATGTCGGTGTTTCGTTGCCGCTTTCCCTGTCCTCTGCAGCCGATTGGAGGTGGCCCACTTCGGTGGGCGGTGTTTGGTTTAATGGGGCGGCTCCGGGTACCTCTCTGGCGTAGCAGAGTCGACTGTGGAGTAGCCCCATTGGTTTGGTGGTCTGCCTAGTACTTAGGCAGACCTGCCGCCGGGGCGCCGTAGTAGTTATGCGCAAGCGATCCTGCGGCGTCCCACTAAGGCGGGGGGAAGGGATGTCGGGTTTTAGTGGGTAGTACCGGCTCTTCTAGCCGGTGAGCCCCACATCACCACCTGGGGGATCAGGTGGTATACGTAAATGCATTTCCCGACGATAAAAAAAAGAGCATTAAAGCCGTCGGTCTTGCGCTTTAACTCACTGGTTACAAGTTATATAACTGCCGAGTGCTATGTAAGTAAGCGTAAGGGATTTGATAAAATAAAAAAAAATAACCCAATCGAAAAAGAGTTTCATTATCCACTTCCTGGCTCCATCATCAGATCAGTTCCATGATAGCAAATTTTACATATTGTCATCCGGTCTACAAATATATAAAAAGTTTCATTTCAAGACAATTAGAAGTGAATCAAAATTCCAACAATTGATGTTAGGTAAGTTTTTATTTTTTTAAATTACATTTTATTTTTAAGGCAGTGGTAGCCCAGTGGTTAATTATTTGCAATCAACCCCATAGTTAAAATTAGATATTTTAATTTATACATAGCTCGTCATGTAAGTTAAGCAAATAAATGAGCCCACCTGTTCTCCCTGACCGCGTGCATGCCGGCCTCCTGGCAGATGGCGTTGATGTCGGCGCCGGACACGCGCTCCGGCCGCGCCACGAACTCCTCTAGGTCCACCTCCTCAGAAAGGTTCATCTTCGCTGTTATTGTCGAGAAAATCAGGCGCTTCTGACGCCTGACAATTTTATATTAGTTTTTTTATTTAAAATACAATTAAAATAAAAATAAAAAAAATACGCATATTCCCTATTATTTTGTATATAACAAAATCAGAACAATACAGTTGACAATTTTTTCATTTATCAACACAAAAGTATAATTCTCTAGCTTTGAATTCATTATGTTCATCAAATCACCCAAAGTGAAAAAGACTTATTTCCATCTTTCTGAATTACGTAAACAGTATCATAGAAGCATTACAGCTAAAGAAAACATGCGAGTTATCTTTAAAATTTAAACAAAATACGTGCATTTCGAAATTGGTTATGATAACAAAAATTCGTAGATTACCTATCAGGAAGAGGGAATTCGATTTTCCTATCAAGGCGACCAGGCCTGAGTAAAGCGGGATCCAAAGTATCAGCACGGTTGGTAGCCATAATTACCTGAAAAAAAAAGTATAAAGTTACAGTGAATAATTAACATTACTTGATTCAATTTTACAAGCACTGTTGAATTGTCTATTTAATTTATACGGAGAAGATGTAGTCGGTCTGTGAGAAGTCTCAGCTACCACCACACATCTGGAAAGAACTTCTATTGAGTAGTGCTTTAATGTAATTCTACATATTTTCATCACAAAAAACTCTTAAATAACGTGATATATTTTACTTAGTAAATATTTTTAATTTGAGATTTTTTTAGAAGAGGTAAATCTAAGACAGTCTGTGAAATTTTATACAGATAATATAAGTTCATATAGCATAAAACAGGTCCATGAAAAAGTTACATATTTAGAGATGAAATTTGATATTTACATGCTTATTTCAAAATTGTAATTGTGTGGTAAAACTTATAGTTAAGACACAGGTACATGTGACACACTTAGGTATTTATACAGATAAAACTAAATACTTCCACAACACTCACTTTAACATTGGTAGTTTGGTCGAATCCATCCATTTGATTGAGCAACTCCAAGAGGATTCTCTGGACCTCTCTATCTGCACCGGTCTGTGCGTCAAATCTAATAAGATAAGTTTACATTAATATTTCATACACAAAATATTATTTAAAGACAAAATTTATAAAAGATTCTCTTATTCTACAACCATATTTTGACGATATGTTTGATTCAGTTTGTAGTGACCGTTTATACTGGCCGTGCCAGCGGTCGCGGGTTTGAGTCCCGATGTGGGCATTCATTTGTGTGAGCACGAATGTTTGTACTCGTCATGGGTGTTTATATTTATAATATGTATGTATTTAAAATTATATATGTGTAGTGTATCAACTATCTGGTATCCATAACATAGCCTTGTAGCTTACTATGGAGCTAGACGGTGCTGTGTGTTAATAAAAAAAATGTAAGACCCTGGAGTTGCATGCAGGCATGGAGAAATCAAGCCACTTTTGGCTACCATCAGCTACTCAACCGACAAAACTTAGCTGTTCATTAACACTTTTACCAGTAAAATGATAAAAGTCCTCTAACAGTTCTCATGTTATACTCAGCTAAGAGGACAAACTGATGAAAACCGTAAAAATAGTGGACAGCTTCAATACTTGCTAAACATGCTCCCAACAAAAATATTTATAAAGTTATATAGTGAGTGGGTTTAAAATTATTAGGGTTCCGTACACAAAGGCTAAACCGGACCCTATCACTAAGACTCTGTTGTCCGTCTGTCTTTCTGTGCGTCTATGACCAGGCTGTATCTCATGAACTGTGATAGTTAAACAGTTGAAATTCTCACAGATGATGTATTCCTGTTGCCGATATAACAAAAAATACTAAAAAACAGAATAAAATATATATTTCAGGAGGCTCCCATACACCAAACGTGATTTTTTTGCTCGTTTGTGCTCGATATTGATAACGGCAACAAGTAGACGGTTGAAATATTCACAGAATGTTTAGTCATATATTCACTAAAAAAATAAATAATTAAATTAGAATAAAACTAATATTTAAGGGGGGCTCCCATTCAACAGACATGATTTTTTTGATGGTTTTATAGATAATGGTACGCAACCCTTCGTACACGAGCCCGACTCGCTCTTGGCCGGTTTTTAAATTTAAATAATCATTAGGGAAAAATATAGATTTTTAGCCATGATTTATTATAAAGCAAGTAATAAATGATAATTCTAACCTCTTAGTGGCAATGGCGTCTATTTCGTCAATGAATATGATCGCAGGGCTGTTTTCTTTGGCGAGACGGAACACATCGCGCACCATACGAGGCCCTTCACCCAGGTACTTCTGCACGAACTCGGATCCCACAACGCGTATGAACGCCGCTAAAAAAATATTTTGTATTGTTTAAAAGATTAAAAAAAAAACGCACTTAACTAATATAATGTAGGTAGTTAAAAAGGGGTTAGGGGTTGGGATTATGTTAGTAGCTATTGGAAAAGTTTTATTATTTTACTTCTTTTTTAACTCTATAATGATGAGATCTTTTAATGCTATCCAATTATTATATTGTCATTCAAACATCACAAAGCTTCAAATTAATTTGACAATAAAGCAGGTAACAATCTTCCAAGGTTTTAAAATAAACTAATAAAAATGTAAAAAAAGTTTATAAATATTCGTATATTCAAATCTTAAGTCATTGAATTGATAAATGCCTGATGGTACCAAAAATTTATAGTACTAAATTATTATTATTGACATGTGAAATCTAATAATAGTAGAAAAAAATATATAATTAAAACATAAAAAATCTAGTGTCTAAATTTCTTTAGTCAAGTTGAGCAATAAGTATTACTATTCAATTGCTTCCCTATCAGTCAATATCATAAAAATACAAAATTTATATATTAAGCATATAAAATATTTTACTAACCAGTAGTATGATGAGCCACAGCTTTTGCCAACATGGTCTTACCGCAACCCGGAGGCCCATACATAAGCACTCCTCTTGGAGGCTCAATACCAATTTGTCGGTATAATTCCACATGAGTCAGTGGCAATTCCACTGCTTCACGAATTTCCTGCTTTTGTGTATCCATACCTCCTATGTCAGAGTACTGAACGTCAGGTTTCTCATCTGAAATTATAGGTCAACATAAAGCTTTACTAGCAACTTACCCTTGTTTCCCTTGGGTCACTAGGTACAGTTTGTACATAATTTCCCTAATGTGCATAATTTTATGTACATAAAGCCTGATTCTTTTTCTAAAATAAAAATAGTCTAAGTTACTCCTTATAACATCAACTATCTGCCAGTGAAAGTCCCGTCAAAATCGATTTAGCCGTTTCGGAGATTAGCCAGAGCATATAGACAGACAAAAATAAAAAAAGTTTTTTTTCTTATAAGTGCCATATATACCTTCATATGTATTTATTAAAAAGCAGTTATTTTAACATTACAAACAGACACTTCAATTTTATTTATCTGTATAGATAAAAAGGTTTATGCCTGATTATGAAAAACATTTAACATATGCAGAAAAAGGAAAACACCATATAATTTCTTTACAATAAGCATACCTGCTTGTAACATGGAGATGGAACTATCTGCCTCAGGAGGCAACACATCAACCAATGCATTTGAGTGCTTGTGCAAAGCAACAGAAGCCGATGGCTTCAGCAGCTCTCTGTCTATTGTTGACAAAATGCGCACATAATAATTGGAGCCTGTGGTACTGCCAACTACAAAAAGACACCACTATATAAATAATACCCCAAGATGATAATATATTACAAAGAATATCAAGATAAATAGTTACATTAAAATGGATTTTGTTAATATATTATTAACTCAATATGTTAGATTTTAGTACATTTAGTAAATATCAACAGAACTGATTTGTTTTTCTTGAACCGATATGAAATTATATATTTAAGCAGCAACAATAAGCTACATTAAATCTAAAAAGTAAAAAATGAAGAAAGGTTTGCTTGTTTATCTAGTTTGCATATTATTATAAAATTTGAAAAGAACTCCAAAGAAAAATTTTACTAATTAGATTATAACTATGTGAAATTAAAATGCATTTTTTTGATAATACCAAAACAAACCTTTAAAATCAATATTATTATTAAAAGACAGCATTACATTCAAAATAAACTCCAATTTGGGGGGGTTACATTGTAATTGTTGATCATACCTGAAACTTGGCATTGATTCAGAAGATTGAGTTATATACATATGTATTTAGGCGGAATATTGGTCTTTTAAGTATATATCTGCCCTCCCGAACCTAAAGTGCAGTAACAGCAAAAACACGAATTCGAGAAAAACGCGCTTAAAGTTTAGAATCCATAAAAATATATCAAAAAGAGACTTTTCGATAAAACCTTGAATGGAAAGTGAAAGGATATGTACCAAACTAAAATACTAAACATTGTTACGTTAGTTTTTTTATAAAAAACTATAATTATGGCAATTTTAATTTTTTTGCCCCCATTACTACACACACTTTATTTGTATAATCTTTTCAAAAACTGTTTTAAATGCAGTAAATCCTGTTATTACTGCATTTTAGACATTTCTTCCATGATTGTTACTAACTAAAGTGCAGTAATATTATGAAAATACTGCTATTTAATCTGTTTTTTTGAACAAAACACTGATATTCCACACTTATAGTAATATAAAATTACCTTTAATTTTGATAAAAATATGTAATTTCTTAAACAAAACTGGACATGAATTTATGACTATGCTATTAAAACTATTCATCAAAACATTGTACATTATAATCTAATAGTGTAAGTTGTTTTATATGACTAACAATATAACAATCTTTACAAGATGTTGATAATCTTAACTAGTTAATCCACCATAAAACTATATCACATGTATTTCTCATGCATGGATCAATAAAATTTACATAAAATCTTTCTTCTGAACATAACTAATTACTAAATGAGTATTCTTGTCTTACAAAAATAATAGTCTGAAAAGATTATGGAAGGGAGAACTAAGGAGAATTAACTTATATGGGAAACAGGTTGAAAAAGTGTCCAGTAGTGAGCAGCAAATTATAGCTCAGAAACTCACCGTTAAGCCTAGTTCGCATTAAGCTAGTATTTTAGTCTAGTAGCGAGTAATTTAGTAACTAAACGTGTCTGAACACTAAAAATTTAGTCGATTAGTTTAGTAAGTAATTTAGTCGAGTCAATCCATTTTATTCTATTTTTTTGGGCGAGTAGCAGCCCCCACTACGCGTCCGAGCTCACTGGTTCACCGGCTAAACAAGTACGAACCTGTCGAATTAATCGAGTTCATTAGTTGCCGCCATAACATTCATTAACAGAAAATTTACACAACTATCGGACATTCTCAAACTATCGAAGTATTCTTTGGGATCTTCCAATGCTAATTCCTTCAGAAGACAATTAGTAGCTCCTAGTTTATCTTGTCTTTCGATCCATTTTCGTACCCATAGCTTCTTTTTATTAATCACACAAATTTCCTCATCCACCTCTTCTAAAATAGCCGTTACGATCAGCTTAATCAGTTTATTTACTTTATTGCGTTGTAGGCTGTTCATCTTGCAAAACACCACTCACTTGTAAACTGTACTCGACCAAAGTGCGAACGATTTTTGGTGAGTAGCGAGTAATTTAGCTACTAAATTACTCGCTACTAGACTAAAATACTAGCTTAATGCGAACTAGGCTTTACAGCACTAGCGTAGCAAGTAGATGTGATGTGAAGTTAGTAGTTTTTAACGGAGTGAAGTGTGCTGAATTATTATTACTTGAAAATAATATATAATTATATTGCTGTTTGCCTATGCTAGAACTATTTAGAAAAGTGCGCCACAGCAAAGCGGAAATCTTTCTTTCCTTGTTTAATTCACCTTCTTACTTTTATGACGTTATATTTTAAACTAGCGACTCACCCTCGCCTCACTCGGGTTCGTCCCTGGATACTATTTTTTGAGCGGAACTCTAATTCTTTTTTTTAAATAAAATTAGCCTATATTTCTCCCTATAACATCAGTTACCTTCCACTGAAAGTCCGTCAAAATCAGTCCAGCCGTTTCAGTGATTATTCGGAACAAACAGACACACAAAATTTTTTATTAATTAGTTTTTTTTATAAGTACCGTATATAATTTCATATGCATTTAGTAAAAAGGTTTATTTTGACATTACAAACAGACACTACAATTTTATTTATCTGTATAGATGTATAGATTCATATACTTGTTTTCTGTGGCGCCACCAATTTAATGCTTGTCAGCGGTCACTTTTTATACGAGAAATAGTTCTCCTTAGTTCTACCCTCCATATCTCTTTGGTACAGACACAGCATGGCACGTCAAGTCAGCCTTAAGCCACAGATTAAGGAGACTGCCTCAAACCGCGATATTGCCTGTCCTGTGTTTTAATATTTTAATAATTTTACCTATTGAAACGCAGTATTAGGGAATAGTATTTGACTTTAAGTATTTTATGTAGTATGAATTGGATGAAGCAAACTAACTAATATGCAGTAAAATTTATAAATATTGTAAACTAAATGGTCTTTTACAAGCAACTACAAAACATCCTACAAGTTAAACTGCAGTAAAGTTATTAAATACTGCATGTCTTTTAGTTTTTCACAAGAAATTACAAAATCCCCCACAAGTTAATGTGCAGTATGGAATGTTAATACTGCACTTTAATTAGGAATATAAATAAAAAATATTTTTTCTTAACCTTTGCAGTATAATCAATTTGTATAGAGTCGAATAATACTGCATTTTAACAAGTTTTTTCTTGAATCTCCTAGAACAAACTACTATTTTAAGTGCCACAAAATATGATAAAACACTGCAGTTTAGTTAGGAAACAGAGAAAAATCTTGTGCAGTATTAATTGTACTGCGGTTTAGCTGGTAAACATGGAATATTTTAACAGATTTGTGATATTTTTGCTGTTACACCTTCCGAAAAAACATTAAAATAAAATACTTTTATTAGCGCTACAGAAAAAAGAATTAATTTGACTGATAGCTACTAAAATGGGGATTTAGAATATATATTTAACTCAAAACCGACCAAAATGTCTATTACTGCACTTTAGGCTCAGGTGGGCAGATATGTATGCTATGTGAGGAGAAAATTATTTAAAATCCAGCTTGAACCACTTTATCACATTTACATGCAACAACCACAGCACACGGATCATGCAGACCTTTTGGTTAACAATACATACATTTCCTAAGTTTACATTGATTTATCGAACACTTACTAAGAGCAAAAAGTGATATAAATAAATATACTATGTGTCTCATAGAAGTTCCTATTTTAGTTTATATGATTTTAACTAAAAATGATGTGCATTTTTGAATACAAAGTTGGCAATAATGTATGTTGCAGATTAGTTGGCAATAATGTATGTATTCTTTGTATCTAAAAACTACAAACCTAAAAACTCAGCCTTCCATTCCAAGAATCAATTGAAATTATTGAATTTAGGTTGCTATTTTTATAATTTATTTATAATTTTTTAAAAATATAATTGATGACTCTATTTAGTTTTACTATATTTTTAAATTGTATAAAATTAAAAATAGCTATATTGTATAGAGTCATTAATTAATATATCTAAAAATTCTTAAAATTGTAAATAATTTGAAAAGAATGAATATTGATTTCTCATATGTCAATCAGACAAGTGCCAAAGTGTAATTCTTAGATTTGATGGATTTCAATAGTTAAATAGAAAGAAAAAGAAAAGACAGAGAATCTGAAACTTTAGTATTATATACCTATTCCTGTATTCTGATCAACGGCTTCTAAGAACTGCCCAATGACCAGTGGAACTGATTGAATTCTTTTAACTTCTTCCTGAGCATGAAGATACTCTTTCTTCAAATTTCTTTGTTCATCCTTTATATATTCTTCTTGTACTTCTAGAAACTCTAGCATCCGTTGTAATTTCTGTAAGTCCATGATATATTTAAGTATATGGTATATTTGATGTACTTAATTGATAATTTAAAATACAAAACATTAGAAAAAGATATGCATATTTATCAAGGAGAGTATATAACCTTTACCTTATATTTTGTATATAAATCTTCTGACTCCAATTCATCAAAGGTTTGTGGGCCCGCAAATGCAAGTCCTTTGGTATCAGGGACTTGATCGTCCTAAAAGAAATAAGAGTATAATAAAATAATATCCCAAACACAACGGGTATAGGTAGAATAATAGAGTTTCTATTTTACCTTTTCAGGTAAAATAATGCCAATTTCTTCCATTTTAATATACGTATTCTTTTCAATAAAACAACGAGTAACTCAGTAATGTTTTATATACACACAGATAAAATATTCTTGTCATTAGTCAAAAATTTACGCCGTCATGCTGTCAATTACGTTTCAAACTACGTTCTTTTTGTACAAATCATTGTTTATTGCACGAAGTTGGAATAAAGTAGAGTGCCAACTAACAAAAGCTAAACTTTCTAATATTTCCTTTAGAAGCTCTACAAACATTTATGGTTATTTGTCATTGATATATAAAAACCCAAGATGTAAGATAGTCTATGCTACTTGATCATGTCTATTCTTACAATCGGTTTGAACTAAAATGTTCATGCTACAGTTATATTATGTTGAATCATTTCAGATACGCTATTATAATGACAGTATATGTCTGTTTCTTGTATTATTTCTTTAGCAATATATTTCTTGTAATTGAGGATAGGAATAACTTGGTCCTGTATTATTATTAAGATTATTAAGACCTCCTGACCGATTTCGGCCATGGTGGCCAATCTCATTAAGACTAGCCAACTGCGCAGGAGATATTATAGTGCACAAGTCTGCGCGCAGACACAACGTGCACTCTCTATTCCTGTCACTCTCATACTCCGGTAGGACGACTACTCGTAACCCGACACGACCGACAGTTAAGGCGCAGGACCGACGGCTTTACATGCTCTCCGAGGCACGGCGGTAAAACACCGCTAACTTCCCACCTCCGGGCTGTTACTGACAATTTCTAAACAGAAAGACTCAAACTTGGCTCGACCCGGGACTCGAACCCAGGATCTCCGGGTGTGCAGCCGTACATCCTAGCCACTATTCCACCAAAGCAGTTACCCGATAGAGGTAGCCAATGCAAAGCAAATCTAATATATGACGATACATAAAATAAATCACAAATTGATGTATAATATTTTAACTATAATTAGAGATCATACCTAATCATATTTACCTGTTAGATACTCATATCATAAAGCATTGTCGACTGGCGCCGACTTCGAAAATATCTGATTAGGTATCTATTCTAAATAAAAACCCCCCGCTTAGTTATTTTTTACATTTTAGTGCCTGGAAGTCGTTGTTTTTTCAAGTTTTTATATTTCTATTTTAGTATAGACTTAATAAGCAGGTAATTTGTAAGAAGAAATTTTCTTAATAATATATTTGATTAGGTAAGCAATTTTTTAAAAAAAATAATTTATTGTTGATTTTTTTAAAAACCGTTCAACCGACTTCGATAAAATTTAAATGGGACCACTTAGGAAGTATACCTTTTAAACAAAAAAATAATACAAATCGGTTCAGGCGTCTTCGAGTCATCGATGAACATACATAACAAAAAAGATTCCGGCGAATTGAGAACCTCCTCATTTTTGTACATCGGTTAAAAATCAAAAGTCTACGAGTTTATATTTAGGTATTTTCAGGCAGCACTGTACAAGTAATTTACAGAAAACGCAAACTTTTTGCTTTTAAGTTCTACCCGAAAACTGTTTTTTTTTCATAACTTTTAATAATTGTAAACATGATATTATCTGGTTCGAATTCTTATCTAGCGTGTACACATATCGTTTTCTAATAAAATCTAAGGAATTCATTGTTTCAGATATGGAAAAATAAGTCCATTTAACGACTTTTTATAAATCTGTACTATGAATGAAATGTATGTAGCATACGAGGACGAAATGAAAGCGTTTATAACATACTATTTTATTCTATTAAAATTATAGACCACAAGGTAGACAGGTAGGTAGATAGACCGTAACGTCGTACCGCCATTACGACATATCATTTTTCTCTTCTTTTTTTCTATTTTCATTCCATTCCTAAAAATATCGGTCAGTATCGTGAGACACCGTATATAATATATTATATATAAGTCATATAAATGTATAGTAAAGGTGTAGTCTGTAGGTAATATTGATACTATGTAATTTAATAAATTTCAATTGAATTTTCTAAACGTTGCAGATATACCTACGTCATAATATACTGTGTGATGTTCCAATTGAATAAATAAATAAATAAATATGAACAATAAAAAGGTGAAGATGAACCCTGAGTGATAATAGATAGTGCATAATCTAGTATTTACATACTATAAAGAAAAATAGTCATCAAACTTAACAAAAAAGGGTAGAAAACTAGAGCTCACTGGCTGGGTGTTAGAATTATTAAAAAATAAAAGATATTTCTAATATGTATGTTTATTCATTTATTTGACTGAAGTATTAAATATCGCGTATGTTGATTTTAAAGGTTGCTGCGAATGAAATCTAAGAATGACGTAATCCTAGCATACGCGACGGGCATGCCAGATTCGCATCCTCCTCTGAAAGGGGGAGCTCCGAACGAAACAATACCAACCTGCAATAATATATATTTTTTATTAATTGATAAGTCTTAAAAATCAAGAAATGTTTAAATCAATTAGTTTTACTTCGTTATTATTATTTTTTCAAGATGTTACTCAAGCGTACACAAAAATACTTTAAGCTAAAAATATTATTAGCTTATTTAAAATAATATTTATAATAGCTCGTGATCAATTTATTTACATTTAAATAAAAATACTCTACAAGAAAACAAAAACATACAAGAACAGGTCCATTTATGTTCACTGTGAGGGGACCGCCAGAATCGCCTCGGCAAGGACTGGATGTTCCTTGGGTGCTTGTGCAAACGTTGCTAGGTTGGATTAATAACGGGAATGATGGGAGGCATTGAGCGTTTGTTATTATGTTATTATGACCAAAGCGTAGAGTTTGGCCGTTCGTGATCGGGACAGCTGAAAGAAAACATTATCTCATATAAACTCTTAATCAAAATTCAATTCTATAATAATATATTTGATATGAGCATTTTTATTTTTTACTTATTAATTAAACTGAATAATATCTATGATAAAACAGGTACGTAATTTAATAATGCCATTTTCATTCCGGATGTAAAGTGTATTTTTTATGATATTTAAAAAGATATCCTATATTAAGCTAAAGAACAGCTACAGTAGTTTCTGGATGTGTTAAATGCCTAAGATATAATAGTTGAATAGATTTAAATATAATTTAAAAATGTAGAATTGATTTATAACTCACTATTTCCGTACATTCCAAACCCAGATGCGGTGGCTGCTCGACCCGCGAAGTTGTCATTTCCAGTAGCCAAAGCTATTACGTTGATGGTGCCTGATAAAATAAAAAGTATTAAATAACAATACAGAGTTAGTCATTAAGTCTGGGAATAAATCAAAAGGAACATAATTATACGTACTGGAAAGTTGTACATTTAAAGGTAGACGGACAGCAGCAATGTCGTTGCGGGCGAGTAAAGGCTGCCAGTTATTGTGCATTACAACACTGTCAGTGTCAATTCTAGTACCACCAAAGAATAATGTAACTGAACCAAGCACAACTGTGAGTCTGATAGCTTGGTTTTGGCCATCAAACCAGCAGTGAGCTGCGGTCAAAACTCGGTTTTGTGTTACTAGGGCACCTCCGCATACACCTTGACCCGTTGAGTCACGGATAGTGCTGATTAGGCCGGCCTGTTTGAAAAATTTAATAATATTTAAATTAAAATATTTAATTAAACCCTTGCCTTTATAAAATAATGCATTTGAAATCTCTACATAATTTAAAAATTTACAGTTGCTTAATCTATAACCTAATATTAGTAAAGACAAATCACTACAACCACTTAAATAATATAATAATCAAGAGTGAATAAATATTTCAAGTAAATAGAGTAAAATGCTCAGAAATGTCATGGCCCATGCCAAAAATGACGCTATCAAGCATTTTTTACTATTTATGTAATTTCCAATTATTGCGAAAATGCAATAGGTACCTAGGTATATTTACATATTTCGTAGGTAAATTGTAAAAACCGTGAAATTAAAATGTTACTAGTGAAATCGTATTTGCCCGGAGTTTTGTCAATAGTTTTCCTTACAATATGATGGGACAATGTTAGGTATATTATAATTTCACCAAGCACATTATAGTAACTCTAGTTAAATTGTCAGTAGTATCAATACTTGGATGTGGTGCGAAGGCTCGGTTGGTTTTGATTGGTCGATTCACAGATCGGGCATTTTTAAAACTTAAAACGTAAACATTGAAGAATGCTCGCAAATGCACTTGTTTATTTAATTTTTATTGTGAATATAATGTGAAGTGTCAAGGTAATCATTATTTTTAAGGCTGTAAGCATGAGATAGTAGGGTACGTTTCATTCTTGCCGCAAAGTGTATTTATTCCTTTCTCAACTTGCTTTCATTTTTAAGGTAAATTTTATGCAGTCGGGTTTTTTATTTTTATAATATGTATTTTTATTAATAAATAATATATTAAGTAAGATTACCTGGTAAGGGAATTGTCCAAGTGAAGCTGGAGAACCATTAAAAATTCTGGAAATTGGATTTTTCAGAAATTCTTCTTCTTGTGCCCTGATTCTGTCGCCAGCTGGAATACCAAATCTTTTTATGTATCCATAGGCGGTATTATAGTAATCTACGTCGGCAACGACATACGCTGCCAACGAAAGAAGAATCACTGCCAGCTTCATGTTTATGATGATAAAGATGATCTGTAACATTACCCATCCTTTTTATATTGCACGTAAAGATAATTTACGGATTAAAAATTATCAAAAATAATAAATTAATATTAAAAAAAATTAATCTTCATGATTAAAATTTTTATCAAAATCTGATTCGCAAGTATCTACCTCAGAGCTAATTATAACTACATATATCGCATGTTACGTTTGAACAATTAGCAATACTTTTTTATGTACCTTGACCATCTATACATATAATAAAATTCTAACTGAGTCAAATCTGTACATTAAATATTTTTGTATTTTAATTAAATAAACATTATTATCGATACAGAGGCCGAATCTATAGTCTTTAGAATTTTTGTCTGTCTGTCTGTTACCGCATCACAGAAATACTACTGGACGAATTTTAATTAAATTTGGTATGGTCAAAGCTGATTTTTCGGGTCAACATATAGGATACTTTTTACAGCGGAAAAATATCTCATTTCTGAGAAAAAATACAAAAACTGTAATGTTAGAGTATACTAATATGTAAAATCTAAGAATTTGGTTTTTGGTCACCTGAACGCGGGCGTAGCCGCGAGCAATGCTACTTTATATATTAGACCATAGATGCACAGTTCCTAGCAATTATCTCTACACAGATTCAAAAAACAATCGTCTTCGGGAGTCGACAGGTTAAAAGCTACATAGAGTCGTTATAAAAATTCCAATATTGCCGTGAAAACTTCTATTATCATTAGAATTATGTAGTTTACTGTAATATGGCTTCCACCATTAAATATAAAATATAAAAAAAATTACGCATCTAACTGATTTAGTTTTCGTTATAGCTTTCTTGAAGCTCTATTTCCTTCTCGTTCGATATACTCTTTTCGCGAGCGTTTTGTTTGCTTTTACGAAATGTGATCATAAACGCTTAAATAACTAGTCAAAAGTGAAATACATCTAAATTTATGTTGTGTATGTTATAATACTTTCTTAGATTTACGTGAATATTTGACATTTTTAAATAGTTCGATAGTTTTATCTTTTCGGATTAATTCGCGGATTTATTTTTCACCATAGGGGGACCAAAAATCAAAATAAATCCGCGAAATAATCCGAAAAGATAGTTTTATGTTTGTTATTTAGTATATAGTATTAAATACTATATGTGTCTTATGTGTGTATATTTATGTATGTTGCAAGCGAGCACATGTCAAAGGACAAAATCATTCCTCATATAAACTGGGGCCCTGTGTTACAGACTTGAAAATTAGTCGTAAATTAATAAATTTGGAAAAATGTCATAAGACCAATTTTCATGAGCTCCAGCGGTGGCCAAGTTAGTAAAATCAATTTTTGAATAAGCTATTTTTAGGCTTTTATTTTGACACATGAGACATCATAACACTTCTATAATTATATCTACAATATGTTACCGCGTTTTCTTATTGAAGCACTTAGAAATCGCGTACGTGTCATGTACGTCTATTATAAAAAACAATCTTAAGTGTTTTAAATTAGATAAATCATAGTAAGATCTAAATTGTAAACTATAGTTGAGTGCACTAAACAAGTTTACTTAATATGGACAAATCTGTTGCGTAGATGCAACCTACCACTACCATCCATGCCTATAATACAACTTGATGCAGTAATATGTTGAAATTAAAGACATACTTAGATGCTATAATTTATTTTATACATCATGATCGTCATCAGAATAACATATTAAAATATTGTCTATTAATTGTGCAGGAGGTGTTAGAAAACCTAGGTCGTGCCCAACCAAGAAACCATACTATGCTCATTGTGTGAGCACCCACTGTTCTTTTTCCCAAAATACAGTTGCATTTATATCGCATTATTGCAATTCTACCACTTTTAAAGAAAACAGTTTACTTTTCAGTTGACACTAAAATATAAAGAAAATATATTTCATTGCTTATTTGTCTTGATTTTAATCTTCCTCCTAAAAACCATGTATTTTCAGATATAGACAACTTCTGCAGTAACTCCCTGTTCACCTCCCTGTGCACTTCTATAACGTAAGAGCCACTTGCCCTTACATATTCCCAATAAATATGATCGGGCCTGTTTTATTTGATACGAACCCAACGGTACAAGAATTAAATCACTTTAAGATAACTCTGACAGAAAACACTTAAAGAAAATCTTTTAAATTATTTGTATTAACATCTATTGATCGGAATTGCGTCCTATGCCGATTTAAGGTATTACCGTATGCAATCAATAATAATAATCGGTATACGTGCAGAACTACAAGAAATTCGATAGAGATTAGGATTAGGTTAAAACACATTTATTTGCGTACAAATACGAAATGCAAATGATAATATCATGTCATACGATTTTTATATTCAGATATATAATATCTAGGGAGGTTTTTATTTAGCGTAAAAAATAAATCATATTTTAGATTTTCGTTTTATTATTAATGTTCTTCTTCTTCTCCCTGCCCATTTCCCAATCACTTGGAGTCGGCGCAGTACATCTTCTGTACTGCTGATAGGATTTGGCAAAAGTTTTACGACGCCAGTCTGACGTCAACCCTCCTTGGGAATAACGTTATACTTAAAATATAATTCAGCTTAAATTCTGCAAAAATGTACGCAAACCGCAGAGCATCAATTCTCAAATAAATTGATTATATATCTTTTTTAATAGAACAGTTCTTTAAAATCATTTCATTTATAAAGACATTGACGTTTTACAAAAATATCCGTTTATAGGAGTAGGTATTAAGCAATATAAAAAAATGTATTTTTTCCTAACTTGGCCGTTGCAAATAAAATTAAGATTTTAATGGAATAATAAAAAAAAATTGATAGATATTTTTATATATATTCGGTTCCTAATTATCACGGCCCGAAAATGGGTTTCTTCTTTTCGCGTTTGTTTAAATTTTTTCATTGAGAACTACAGCTATGAATCATCATGCCAGTGTGTTTTGTGAAGTGGTGCTGGAACCATACAAGATTAAAATGTCCTTGTCCAGGAATCACTTTTCGGTAGTAAGTAGTAGTAGTAGTAGACAGGAAAAAAAGTGAGGTTAGGAAATTTGTTCATATGCGGGTTATTTATACCTCTAGTAGGTATGAAAGTGGATACGTAATACTTTTTTTTCTACGATGTTTATTTTTTAAATTGTGTTTTTTGGTTGCTCTTTTTAATAAAGAAATATTTTTTGAATTTAAAAAAATATACAAAGAATATTAAAAATTAAAAATATTAATTATTTATTTAATCAATATTATTGTTTTTTATGGAATTTAAAAGAAGTTAAAATATTAAGTAACACTACTGCTACCTTTATACATAGACAAAATATAAATAATCATGATAACCAGATATTAATAGCGCGATATTAATCAGAATGACCAGATGAGTGTGAACTAACTACATCTACTGGTCTGTTATATTTGTTTTTGTTGTTAGATTTTATTATGTTTATTACAGGATCCCAAGATAATGCCCAGCAATCTTCCCTATTGAAGTTTGGATATTTTTTAATTTCAATAGCTTCGCGAATCATCCTGGGGCGATAACGGTTCTCTTTCGCGAGTGTTTGTGGACTATAAAAGCAAATGTAGTGGCTTGGGCGATCCTGACTATGTTTACAGACTGCAGATGTTGTATTGTGACGGTGCTTCACATCAGCTATGTGTTCTTTGACGCGAGTTCCTGTGTTTGTCCGATGTGGGAGAGCCCACAATCACAATAAAGTTTATATACCCCTGCATGTTGCACTTGACAGGTGGTAAGAACTGACTAATTTTTTTTGGCGGCTTGAAGTAAGTTTTGATTGAAGCACGTTTTAGGATTAGCCAATATTGTCAGTGACTCCTCTCATATATGGCAGGACTACAGGGACGCGCTTGACTATGGCTGGTTTCACTTGGTCACTGTGACGCAGGCGCGGCATTTGCAGCTTGTTGTCTCGCAGAACTTGACATGTTGCAGTTCTCCGGCCAGGTGCTGCTCGTCACAGATCCCTCGCGCTCTCTGAACCAAAGATTTTCCCACGGTAACTAACTGTGAAGGATGGTGGTGAGATTCACTGTTCAGGTATTTATCAGAATGGGTCTTCTTTCTATATACAGTATGACTCAGGTTGTTATCTGGGTTGCGATTAACTAAAACATCTAAAAAAGCTAAGGTATTGTCAGATTCTAATTCCATTGTAAATTGTATTTTAGGATATATAGAATTAAGGTGCTCTAAGAATATAACGCGTTTAAGTTATACATAATTATAATGTAATTATTAACTAAAAGTCTTAAAAATAATTATCTAACTTAGTTTCAATTTATACATAATGATCGCATATAATCCTCTTATTAATTGGTAATTAATTATCTGTATATCATTAGTGATGACGAGTTTATTCATTACACAAAATTATTTAATTATTTAATATAAAAAGAATATCAGGAGATATCAGCTGATTAAAACATATATGCATAAAATACCGACGAAGCGTGCGTAAGTACTAAGAGTACATAGTGAAAGTTGCAAATAAGGTACCGAATAGTAAAATCTTTCACTTATTGATCTTACAATCCATTCTAATATTAGAAATGTGAAAGTGTGTTTGTTGTTTGTTTGTTTGTTTGTTTGTTTGTTTGTTTGTTTGTTTGTTTGTTTGTTTGTTTGTTTGTTTGTTTGTTTGTTTGTTTGTTTGTTTGTTTGTTTGTTTGTTTGTTTGTTTGTTTGTTTGTTTGTTTGTCCTTCTTTCACGTCGAAACGGAGTGACAGAGTGGCGTGATTTTTTGTGTGGAGATAGTTGGAGGGCTGGAGAGTGACATAAGCTACTTTTTACCGCGGGAGATAATTTCATTCCCACGGGAAAACACGTTATAATATAATAAAAAAAATCTTGAAACTTAGTATTACTGCTCTTCAATAAAATTAAATAAATACGTGTTTTAGCATTTTTCGAAATTCATCCTATAAGTGGATGAAATTGGGGATGAAAGTTTGTATGAAACTACCTTTTTAGAGATTTTTTTGTACAT